AACTTTTTTAACATTCATTTCATTTTACTTACAGTGAATTTCCTTGCCATTTAAAAGCGAACAGAGAAGAGAAACCTGTGTAGATTATTAATTAAAGTGTCTGACAGTCAAAAGATTGACGATTACTCCCAATTATGTACGAAAACAGACCTTTCCGTGGGCTGTAATTGAAAACATCTCACGGAGAGTTCATGCGGTGACTGAATGTTGGAATGCTAAATACCAAAAAATCGGACATAGTTAATTTTTGTCTCTTACCTCATAGGGGTGTGATTTCAAGATCTTGCGAGTTATTCCAAATCCGTTTTAGTCGATCGTTCTCTGTGGAAAATAACACACCATGGCAAACTTATTTGGCTAGAATTTGCAGCAACTGTGGATAATTTTCCTTTTTTCTGTTCCTTTCTCGGCAGTTTTCCTCAGGGGAAGTGTGTGCGTACAATTAATTTTTCCTTCATTTGCTCTCTGGCTGTCCTTTAAGAAATTCACGGAAAACAATGTGAAATAAGGAAAAACACTCTCCTCTCTCCTTATTATGTACAATGGGAACCTGTTCAGATAAGTACCGAAGCTGAGATAAGATCCGCACACGAACGAATTCGCGGACACGAATTTCACTCTATTCTTGAACAGTCCACCGACGATACACTCAGTCTTGGTCAGGTTTGAAATGAAAATGTCGCTTCCTCAAGAGTCGGTTCAACGGCTAAAAAAAGAACAAATGTTGCAGATACAATAGAATACAAAAGCCCAAGGTATAAAAATCCATAAGCAAAACATACAAACCTCATCGGCGTTTTCGTATAAGTAGAAACGGCAAAACTTGAACTTGGACGCTAACTGAACTAAAACTAACCGATCAAGGTACAAAATGCGCATAATGAAGGATGTTTAAGTGTATAAGAGTCCCTTGTGACCTAACGCTTGGTAGTTCGTGCATACAACGAAAACAAAGAAAAATAAACTACCAAGTAATGCTAATGCACATACCGCAGTAACAACCAAGCTGAGATAAGATGGTGAGTATCGACTACCTTGCTCAAACTGTTGTTATTTAAATTGAGGCCAGGAAATGTGCGTGCAATGCGTGCATAGACATCCTTCACTGACGAATTATACCACTATTTAGGGAAGTTTTCAGTCACATCAAAATTAAAGAGGCCGTTTAGACTTGATCCTGTTCTCAGTTGTTAACCGCTGTAAATTGACAAGATGGGGTTACTTTGGATCTAGTTTTTTGATATCATCATTTTTGGTAAAATCGTTCAAATGGAATAAAAGTTCAATCACCAACACGTGCAGATCAACAATCGCCTTGCAAACTATAAAAGCTCCCACACCTGATAAGTCATCAGGTTTCCTTAGCAGGTAACATTCAAATTATTTTAAATAATTGAATTATTTGACTGGCTTAGGTTATTCAGATGTTGACTTTTTTCTCTGTTTTTGGCTCCGAGCTTATTAAGACTCTTAAAGCGTAGCAGTGACATGCTGATAAGGACTGTAAAGATGATTACTGAACTGGTGTGGTAGGCGCAATGAAACGATGTGGCAAAGCGCGCGCTCGCACACTGTTTTGAGTTTGTAAACTTTACCAAGTGGCGGATACGATTATCACGTGGGCTAATTGGAGTTTGCGGTTGAACAGTCGTATTTTGTGGATTTTTGTGTCTGTGATGCCATTTAAGTGGTGGTTTTTGTGGTCCACTAACGAGCCACATAAACAGGGCATTACTAGGTTAATTTATGAAGTGTCCTTTGAATTGCTACGATGTCCATGTCAAAAGTGTTATGTGAGGAAACAGAATAAGAAATTAAGGTCAGTTATTTTGAGCTCGTTAATGAAATAAAGAAGCAGATTGATTACAGAGCTGCTCAATCAAGAAAGAGTTCGGGTTATTAGTCAATTACTCAATTTCCTGCCATAACAATCAGCTGATCAATGACGTCAGCACTAGATTGCTTCATTACCCTCTATGACACCATAATCACTTCTCGCTTTGGTTTCCGTCAGCAAGGAAGCATATTCATTCGGAGATGTGAGCTTCAATTTGGGAAGCTAAGTTAAAAAAAATAACGTAATAAGTTGAGCACATGACGAATAAGGTCCAAACATGTTGTTATAACAGTGGGCGAAAGCTCCGATGCGAGCCATGATGAAGACGAAAAATGGACCTCGGAAAAATTATTTCATAGCGTCATGCATCGGTTATGCTGTCGGCCTGAGGAATATTTGGCGTTTTACGTATCTTTGTTACAGGAACGGTGGAGTTAACTTCCTTAAGAGTAGATATCTATCACAGTCCTTTTTTAGGAGTGTAGGTTAACAAGAACACACTTTTTAGAGTTGCAAAATTCTTGCAACTCAAAGTTAACGGCTATCGGTTAAAATTTCGTTCATTTTACGTCTGACGGTCAATTTCTTTGCGTTGCAATTAAAATTTACATGTTTAAACTGTGGCATTTTTTACCCCAAATGCAAAAATGCATTTAAAGCTGAGCAAATAACAAGCGCTTTTCAAAACAGGTTGGGATACACTTGCAAAGAAACAAAGCAGATCACGTAAGTACCGAATATTCCATGCTTAATGTTTACAAAATGAGAAAAGATGAGAGATGCCAAATGGGTGCCCATAGAGGAGAAGATAGGCTGTTTGAAACATAATTATAGCTCAAGTTTGGTTTTATGAGGTAAGGGAACTTTCGCTCAGTAAAGTGAGAGCAAAAAAAAAAAAAAGAAAGATGAAGGCTGGTTAGTTTGACCGCCCTCACCTTCTCATTCAATGGTTACCAACCTATTAGCTTTGCGGGAGAATAAGGCCAATTGGTTTTCCAACTTGCGAACTCGCCTAATGTTGCTGAGCGTTGGCAAAGTTAAGGAATTCTGCACCAGTTCCTCAGTTTTTAATTTATTGTTTCTCTCAGTAGTAAGATAGTTAAGAGCGCAAGCATGGAAAATTCTCCAGCAGCTTCTAAAACCAAATAAGATGGGCTTCTCTGTTGTTTACAGTTGGTTAACGCCAAAACTAACGTGTGATGCACCGTGGATTTTACAGAAAGGCGAGACAGTGATTCGTGAATTTTATGATCCAGTGTAAGGCGTGGTCTGCCCCTGAAATATACGTGACCTGTGAGTTTTTTATGTTCATTTCTTGAAAACCTCATGATTTTTATCCTAACCTCGCACGTAAGAAGAGAGCTTTGAAGTTTTCCCCTATTAAATGACGCATGCTGTTTAAAGTACATGTGACGCTTGAACTTTTCCAAAATGGATCCGGAGCCCCTGTCCCCCTCCCTCTCCCTGGGCTACCCTCATGTTAAAGTACCACTTATCATCTAGTTGGCGCATTAAAGGAATATTACGATAACCATGGTAACTGCTCTCTCTCGCTCCCTTCAAATAGCAGAGGAAATAAGACCCAAAGAATGTGCATTGTGCTCAAACATCAAATCAAATAACGTCAATCTTCTGCAAACAATATCACTCATTGATATCGGTAGTTTCATTAATAATAGTTGCGATGTTAGATCAACTAAGACTGGATGTTGCTATACCAAACTATATATAATAGCATAGTTGTAAAGAGCAGCAAAAACTTCAAAAGAAATATTCTCTCTGTTGCTTACTTAGCTGCAAATTTTTTTCGACTTTCTCATTCAAAATTCTTTTTATTTTCATCTCAGTTTGCTCCTTTATAGAAAGGAGAAGAAGTACTTTGGAGAAAGGAGTCTAAACTTAAAGAAAATTCAATCCCAGGACCGTGGTGTCTACACCTCTTCAGCGGAAAACTTATGAGAAGAATTATCCATCAATGTCAGCTTGAAAGGTCTGCCCAAGAAATTTATAATCTCTTGTTGTCTTTATAACGCAATAGTTGGCATTCAGTTTCATATATTTTCCTCCAATAAATTCCATATGTAACTATGTAAAGTTATGCAGAGTATTCATTTTGCATTTTAAAAGGTCCAGATCCTTCTAGCTCATTATTTGCTGGTCAAAAAAAACTTTCTTGTTATAACACAAGCTTAACGTTCTCCGCACAACAATCGGTCACGCGCGCCTTGCAAAAAAACTATTTGAATTTATCGTTCATTGCGCATCCAGGGCAAAGGTAAAATTTCGGATAAATATCAATAGTCCCGTCAAAGCTTGATCACTGGTGCTAATTCATATATTGCTGCACATCATTAGGATGTCCTACACCTATTTCGAGCTCGGTTGCTCGGGAACAAATATTGATCCGTCCTAGTAGTAGTACCACTTAAGTAGTACCAGCACTTCAGTATATTTACCACTTTAGTGGTACCAGCAAAATTTATAACCGAACCTAAGCGTTCCGTAACTGCTTACAAGACATGGGACACCGACCTCCAATGTAACATCTTTGGTTACCCTTCCGTCACGACCAACACTGAAAAAAGCAACATGACTTCGAGCTATTGTCTTAAAATGGTTAAAAAATTAATTAAGTAATCGCCTAAATTTCATGTTAATTGTCACGGCTAGCGAAATACGAAATGACTCAAAGGTAGTCCATTAGGGTAGTCCTTGGACTGGGGTCAGTGTTGTGCCCATCACCCCTGTGATCATCTCATTAGCGAGTGATTAGCAAGATCGCACGAGTACGATTTGTTTACTTCAGGTATACAGACAGAATTTGACAACACAAAGTCGTAATACTAATTGATAAAATGTATGGAAAAATACGAGAAACAAACCAGGCAATGGTTATAATTTTTCATTTAAAGCCAAAGGAACAGCTTCATAAGAGTAGGAAACGCACAAAATCAAATTCTTACACTGAATACTAACTTGTGAATGCGTTACATTTCTGCCAACGTGTTCGAGCTTTCGCCTAGAAATATGATGTCACCAAAAAACTGTCACGCAAGGGATGGAGGTTACAGGACGTCGAAATCTCTGTTTTGGTGTAGATTGACAAGAGTGTGTTCGAAGCCCAAACAATTGTTGCAAAGCTGTCCATATTTTCTCCAGAACGATGTCTATGAAAGCTCTGATTGTTGAAGAGTTCGGCGACTCGTCGAAACTAAAGTATAGTGAGGTTCCCAAGCCAGAACCCGCAGAAGGAGAGGTAAATAAACTAGTCTATTTTACATTTCTCCCTCCTAAGAACTGTCTCGGTCTTTGCCTCTTTCATGTGGGGCAGTGCTGAATCATATTGGCGGTTTCAATTTTTAATGATCGTGTAATTTAAGCCAAAATAGTGGATATTTTAAGGGGACAATTGCCATTATTAACCTGACTGTATTGAGATTCTCGTAAAGCAAAACATGTGAAAATAAGCTATAGGCGCCATTGGCAAAATGATGGTAATGACTGTACAAGTTTATTGTACATGACCGCGCTACGTAAAAGGCTGCGACTGCAAACTGCCCGGTTCACCCATCGTATTCTCTCGAATAACACAACACGTTTTACCGATCTAATTGGCACTCTCGCTTAGATAAGCGCCCGTCCCCATGGCCTTAAATGTCAAATGCCCTCCTCCCCCCATACTCCATCACTTTCTTGAATATTAAGGATACAAAAAAAAACCTCTTTCTGTTGCCACTTGATTTTTTAACTTAATTGATGAGTCCCAATTACAGCCGAATTATAAAAGTATCCCTTTTCATTAAGAGCTTGCTATTTTATAAACATCTTTATATTAGCAATTTTTTTTAACTTATTCAAGGAAATACAGTAATAGTGTAATCCCACAAGAAGTTTTATTGGAAATAGTTGAAATACTTTTTAAAACCAAAAACTTTTAATGAAGAGTGAAAATGCAGATTTGTAAGAGCTAGAGAACAAGATATCAGACAATAAACATTTGAAGTGTTTCTGTATTCCTTTATCTTGCTGCAGTGAAAACAGTGAAAGTTAAGATTACTACTTCTTCTCCTCTCAATGCCTAGTAAACACAGACCGGCTAAGGACCTTTGGACATGTTTGTGAGAAAAAAATTGCAATAAAGTGGTCAAATTTAACAACATTGGGTATTTAACATCTTCAACTAGAGGTTCGATTTTTTTTGCTTGAAGTCTTATTATGTATGAAATCAATTATAAAATAAATTTGAGTACCTCTGGGTTAAAATTTATGTTATGTTGTCTTTAAGTTTTGGTAAAAAATGAGATTTGTGGCTTGAATTACCTTGATGTCTTGGTAAGGAATGGGGCTTTGCCTCTCAAAGCTGTAGGATCAGGGTTTCCTTTGACAATGGGGGTGGAGGCTGCTGGAACAGTGGAAAAAATTGGTGTTAATGTCACTAGTGTGTCTAAAGGAGAGAGAGTAGCATATGCAGTAGTTGGATCTGGTAAATGAATGATTTATTTTGTAGATGCTATAGTATGTCCCTGGTTGACCACTTCTGTCACCAATCACCTCTTATAAGCAACAAGTTCTCAAAAATACCAAACTTTAGTATATGAAATACCACAGGGCACCTACTACTTGTAGGTGACAGCAATCACTTCAGTAATATAATGTTATAGTGAATTGTTTGACTAATTGTAATTACTGAAGCTTATTTATATTTATTTTCATTTATTTCCTCATGGGGACTCAGATTTTTTCTTTGTCCCTCACTCATGACAAGAAGAAAAAAATCTTTCTCTATTTCTTTACTGAGCTAAAAACTTACCATCTTTCTTAATCTTATTTAAATCATTAACCTCAATATGGGTGTCAATTGAATGACAAGACTCTTGAAAAAAATGTGTAAGCTAATAATAGAGCTTGCCTTTTTAGCGATAACTTTGGTATATTCATACCAGTATATGCCAGAATACTTAAGTTATGAATCTTCCACTCTCCTGGACATTTACCTGAATGAATCTCCTATATATGTCTATTTATGGAGGGTACATAAAGAAAATTTCCATTGAAAAATTATCATGTTTACCATTAAAGGATTGTTGATTTTATAATGAATTTGTGTTCATTTTGTCTCAGGTGCTTTCAATGTAGCTACTTTTAATTTGTGTGGTGATGTTAGGTGGATTGTTTAAACAAAGTTTAGCTGTTGTTAAACAAAACGGCATTCTAAAGTATCTTGAATTTAGCTGAATCTTTTATCTGGACATTTATTTTTGTGAGCAGTATCAAGAGAGCAAGAAGCAGCTAGTCAGCAGTTGAAGGACATTTATTTGATGAAGACAATCTGCTTATAGAAAATATGTAAGACCCACTGCCTGTGTAAAAACCATGCTTTAGGCCTGTTAAGTTTACAAAGTCAATTCACAAATTTAAGGTATGATTTGAGAGGTTGTGGATTTAATCCAAAATTATATTTCTCCAGAATAGATAGATTAAAAAAAAGATATCAAAATGACATTGTAGGCTGAAAATACATGATAATTGGCTCTCTTGGATGAATGACTTCTAAAGTGCCTCAAGTGAAAATGTATAGAAAGATCAAAATTTTTGAAAAGTTGTGGCTCAACCAGTGACTAATCCTAGATTATTTATGCTAACTGTTAGGGAGTCTGACTTGAATTTTGAGTCAATAACATGGGCTGATACCATAAATAGTTTCTAAATAATTTTTATCACCAGGAGCACATGCTGAGTGTGCAAAAGTGTTAGCATCAAGACTGGTAAAAGTTCCAGAGGAGATTAGTTTTGAGCAAGCTGCCACATCAATGATTCAGGGGATGACTGCACACTACCTTGTGCATACAACTGGCAGAGTGAAGCCTGGTGACAAGGTGTTGATACATGCTATCTCTGGAGGGACTGGGTCTCTTGTGTGTCAAGTGGCAAAGAATGCAGGTAACAAAAGTATTTGGTTTTCAGTTTGGAGATATCCAGTGGAATCTTTTTTAAGGGATGCTTTCAGGACTAGTGTAAATATAACCAAGGAAGGCATCCCCCCCAAAATAGCAGTGTCACACCCTAGAACTCTTCAAGATAAGCTCTCTGAAAGTAATTTGTATAGAAACATGATTTTGAATTGAGGAGCTGGGCAAAGTAGGCAGTAGTTAAACAAATACTTGTAATGCCTCAAAGAGAGCATGTAGCCTATTAGCTGCATAATTAGACTACTTAGTAAATGAAACGATTAAGTTTGTGATTAAAAGAAAGGTTGGGAATAGTAAGTGACACACCAAAGGAGGAGTGTGGATGCTAGTAGGAAGGGATAGAATCATGGAAAGTAAAATTTATTGACTTACTATATTTTTGTCAGCAATTAGTTTGCTTCCAATAGACCTCTTTAATACATACCAGATGAATGGTGCTCTTTGCACATACTAATCAGCTAGTTTGGAAGTGAAGAGCAAAAAATATTCACCTGCAAGCAGCCAATGAGACAAGATTGTGCATCAAGAGTTTCTCATCAATTAGCCACCTCCACTTTGGTGGATAATTGTTAATAAGCTTCTATGTTTTGTTTACCCATTTCAGGTCATGTGACAATACTCAAGAGAACTGTTTCTTTCAAATTTCCTCTTATTCATGTACATATGTTAACATAATTTACAAAAGATAAAGCTGGAAAATCCTTTGAGACCTGAAATGGGTAAGCAAAACATACAAGCTAAAGAGGTCTATTCCACTCTCCATTTCTGGGAGGTTTCTATTATTTATTTTACAACTGCATGAAATATCCCATTTATGTTATCAATTACTGCAACCCAAATCTCTATTTAGCAGCCTGTGTAGGCCATCACCTTATCATTCTCATCATTCACTTCCCACACTTCCCACAGCCAACCTTCTTTTTCGGGTGCAGTCAGTGCTTCAAGTTGAAACAAACAAGGTCAATGAGGGGCCGAAATATTTTTTCCAATTTCCTTTTACTTGTGCTTGGACTGCTCTTAATCTTGCCAAGTTGATCAGGTAATTATCTAGTCAATTCAGCTGAGATTTATAGACGAAATTCCTTCAAGCCCATAATTTCAACATTTATCAGGAGCATTTGTGATTGGTACAACCAGCACCGAGGCCAAAGCAGCAAAGGCAAGGAAGACTGGTGCCGATGAGGTCATCCTTTACTCACAGAAAGATTTTGCCGAAGAGGTCAACAGGATCACTGATGGAGAAGGGGTGAATGTTATTTATGATGGTATAGGGAAAAAAACCTTTGAAAAAGGTATGATGTGGATCAAATATCAAAAAGGACATTTATAACTTTTGGTTCAAGTTTAATAATAATCTGACCTGTCTCAAGCTAAATTAGTACAATGGAATGATCCCATATTTATTACTTCTTACTCATGATGTACGGGACAGATGCCACAAAAAATTTTTAAACCATTTTGTATATTTAATCCATGAAATCAAGAAAGCAGGAATCATTGCGATCATCTAAATTCAAAGATTAATGTTTAACCCTTTAACTCCCAGACCAAATTTGTAATTCTCCTTAATGTCAACAATACAACACTTGTAACAATACAACACTTGTAATGTTAGTTTAGAGAATTTATTATTGTATCAACTAATTATCCCCAAATTGATATTTTTCTTTATTCTTATCACTTATCTGCTTGATATTGTAAGGAGAAATTCTGTCTTGGTCACTCATGGGAGTTTAAGGATTAAAGGGAACGGATTGTTAAAGTTACAGGTCATTGAAGTCCCCTTGAAACTGCCTTTCGTGAGATTTACAAAAAATGAAAACTTCCATTTCATGTTTCACGTAGAAATGTTTAAAACCTGTCCGCACTAATACTTATCTTTTCTGTTCCGCTGTAGACTTCGAGTGTTTAGCTGTCCAAGGAATCGTGGTGTCTTTTGGAGTAGTTTCCGGGACTCCTCCTCCGTTAGATCTTAACATACTCGCCAAAGGTTCCTTCTCCGTCTGCCGACCTTCGTTGTTTCACCACATCAAAAAGGAAGAGGATTTGAAGTGGCGCAGCTCTGAAGTGTTGAACTGGATCAAGAAAGGCGAAGTGAAGTTTGGCGACTTTACTGTATTACCGCTGTCTGAGGGAAAGAAAGCTTACGAGTTGTTGGAAAGTGGAAAATCTACAGGAAAAGTCTTGATGAAGCCATGAGCTGAACTGAAAGATTTAAGCGGTTAATCGCAATAAAACTCAGTTTTAGTTGATCCTAGGATAAAAACATACAAAATGCTAACGAATCTCTTTATCAATATGTGTGTTTTCGTGTTCCTTCGCAAACAAGCTGGAGATTGTACAATCAGCATGGTACAAGTTAAATGCGCAGGGATTTCTTTTAGTGTTCTTTGGAGATTTTATTCTAGAACAAAATGGATGTTTACGTTTTCTAAGTTATGCAAAAGCCAGAAAGTTTGGCTTTTAGACCAGTGTTTGTTATACTCTTTACTCCATTTTCTGTACGTTTAACATCTTGTAACACTCGTTGTATCTTGCACCAAGAAAAGAAAAGCTGGCTCCTAATTACATAATATGGGTTAACCCTTTACACCCCAACATTGGTCTGCATAATCTCCCTACTGTTCTCCATACATTTCCCATAGTTTTGGCAAGGAGAATTTGCGGAATGATTAAGAACTTCTTCAGATGGTAACCATTTCCTGTATTCTCGTGGCCTTGATGTTTGATGTAAGGGTGATTCTCTGAGAAAAAATTGTTAGTACCATAAAAACGCCGAAAAAAACGAGGGTAGTATCCAGCCATCTTAACCAAATAAACTTGGTCAATAAATGATTATAACATAGCAAAAAGATTCCACTTTATTTTCAAAAATGACTTGTTTATTTCGAGGTCCGGGAAAGAAAGGCAACTGTGTTTGTAGCAAGTTTGTAGCATTAGATCAACAGGAGTCGTTTATGATTTTCTTAGCTTCGACAGTCTTTCCCACGATCTGTCGCTTTCTACGCCGACATTGTCCAAAAGTTACGGACTTTGTAAGTCCGCTCCGCGCGGACAAGATTTGCTTGCGCAAAATCTTAGCGTGCAACACTGAGTAGAAACGATTTCGCTCGCCCAGGCAGCTAATCAGAACACAGTATTCACTGCCAGCGATATTTAACAATTAACTTATTGTCTATTTTTGACCACAGAAACCGAGCTGAGATAGGACGCAGAAATCGTTGGACAGATACTCCAAAAGATATATAAACATAAGGGTTTCTCACACTTCAATTACTTTTATAACATAGCTAGTAAATTTGTCCAATCAAATTCAATTGCGCGAGCGTGCTTCATATTCCTATTGTGCAAGGACATGACATCAGCAAACAAATCCCTCGAGAAAAAAATTTTCCATCGGGTTGAAAATGTAATAACCAATTGTTAACCCTTTAACTCCCAGGATCTGATTCTTAATTCTCCTCTCTGGCTGCTACACAATTTCTTGTAGGACAGTTACAAGAATTTGGTGTTTGATCAAGTTAAAAACTTCTACTTGATAAGCTGGAGTATTCTCATTACCTGTTTGCTGGATAATGTATGGATATTATGGGAAGAAGTTACATGTTAATCACTTCTGGGAGTTAAAGGGTTAAGTGAGTTATTTCTACGCAAGATGCATTTTTCGCGCCAACGCAGCGGTATCCCAGAAATCAGCTGGGACCAGTGCCATCAACCAATCATTCGCGATGGCTATCAAATTGACCAATCAGAGCAGAGAAAATAAGACCGCCAGAAGGAAAAAATTGAACAAGCGGAATAATCACCCACGTTATCGTGTTTAGGCTGAAGTTCATGTGGTATTATCAGTTCGAAGTAAGGGTATACTGAACATGTCTGAGGACAAAAAGACCGTGGTTCTAGCCTACAGTGGAGGTCTTGATACATCTTGTATCTTGCTTTGGCTCAAAGAACAAGGGTATGAAGTTGTTGCATTCATGGTAAGAGGAATTTGTTTCGTGATACTCACGGGATAACGAGTCGCTCGATCTGTTCGAAGCTTATCATTTTATACTGTCTCTGTAAAATTTATTTTCATTGAATCCGATTGTCTGTTCGATGATTTCGACGTGAAGAAGACAACCCGTCTTGATTTGAGTTTTTTGGACTCCTGTGGTGAGCTTTATGTACAAGTTTGTATCTACCGATCGATGGATGACTCCTTGGTGCAATATGCAAATTATTAGGAATTGAAATCAAAAATTGTATAGTAGCTGAAGTCAAGCGTGAGTTACGGTAACCTAGAGAAACAGTAAACTTATTCAATTCTTTCGAAACGACCTAATTATGCTGTGATATTGACTAAGTCTTCCTAGATTCAAGTTTTTTGATTCGATTGTCGTTTTTTCTCAGGCAGATGTGGGACAAGATGAAGATTTCGAGGAGGCGAGGGCGAAGGCCACAAAACTGGGCGCAAAAAAGGTCAGCGATAATCCAAAGTTGCCCTGAATTGCCACGTAATAATAGCTCTTTTTTTTATGAAAGATTACATGTATTTATAATGATAACGCACCGTGAAGTGTAAACTAAATTTTGATTTCGATTCACTGGACGTTGGTAAAATTAGTTTCTCAATGAAAGCATTCAGAAAAAGATATTTCTTGGAGGATGCAGTACAAAGCCATTTTCCGGAGCTTTGAATTAAAATTGAAACCTTTTTGTGGGTGAACTAAGCTATCGTACGTTTGCCCAAAAACCGCAATTTTTAGTTTGAGTAAGGATGGGTTTTCTGTAATGGAAATTATGGTAATTGAAAAGATAAATAAAGATTTATTGATCTTCTTTGCCAGGTGCCTTAAACAAGCGCTTTTGGTACACCAGTTTCACTTTGTGTAAACTTTGAGAAATTCGATTTAGTTTACACTTTTTTCTTGGTTTTTACTTAAATATTGCCCAATTGTAAATTCTATATTTACTACATGGAGAGTCAATATTAGTGAAGAATATTAGAGTATCTGGTGGGATGTTTTCTTCATAAATAATTAGGAATCCTTAATTTTGGGGTTTTTATAAGTATAAGTTTTTGTGTCATTTGTGAAAATCTTGTGGTTATGTGCATGGTCTTGCAGGATTTAAATTAAAAGGCTCTCTTTCAAAGGGTAACAAACATTTTTTCATGACCACCATAACAATAATTGGGTCTAAATGATCTATTAATTTTTTTCTGGAGGTTCTGAAAACCAATTAGTAGTAAATCAAATGGATTTAATAAAAGCCCATGGGAGGAGGGGGGGGAAGGTAGGCTTGATTATCAGCTGCTTTTCAGGAAATGAGCCATCCCTCCCTCCTAAATCAAGTGATTATTGAAGACTGAGCTGGTGAAAAGGGTAGAAATCGAGCTAAGGAGGGAAAGTGTGCACTCCCTATTTCAGCCCAAACAGGTGTATGCTACCAAATAGGGCATGGTTTTTAAGTCATGAGTTTTAACAGGTTATCCAAACTCAATATTTATTGTCATGAATAAGATGTCTTATCAGGCCAGAAGTCTTGAACAGGATGTAAAATGAGGGTGGTGCACAGTCTCCATCCCTAGTACTAACAATTTTTTCAAACCTAATTCCCAAAAATTCTCAACCTACCTAAATCAGGTTGAATTGCGGTAATCTGTAACAATTTTTTGCTGTGATTAGGGTTATGAAACTAGTGGATTTTGACTTAACCATTTATACCCTTATATCAGCATGTATATTCTCCATACTGTTCTCTATACATTTCCTAACAAGCTGACAAAGAGAATTTTTATACCAATCAAGAGCTTCTTTAGTTGGTGATCATTTCCTTTATTCTTGTGAGATTAATATTTGATTCAGTGATGATATTGTAAGGAGAAATTAGATGCTAGTCACTCCTAGGGGTCAAAGGGTTGAATAAGGTCTGAACTGAGGGATTACAGTTGTACCCTTATCCCACCTTTACCCCCTCAACCTCCACCAGGGACAAATTAAGGGTGTTGAGAACTTTTAACTGATCTTAACATCTTGGAGTCTTTTCAAATAAGTTAGTCACAAAGTCCTGTATTTAGAACTTATTGGTATCTTACACTTGTAGTGGTTTTGGGTTCAGTGTAACTTGGATTTGAATCCAAGGGTCTCTTACCATCCTGTTGGGTGTTTCACTGCTTCCCCTTTTTGCCTTACTGCTACTCAAAGTCTGAATACAAATTTATCCCTTTCCCACAACTTCTTCCACAATCAAATATTTACATGTATGAAAACAAATTTGATCTTGGCCCTTACAGAGGGAATACTTGAAGATTAGAATCTAATTATCAGACTCTTTTCTCACTGAATTGTTTACCTGTAATAATGTTTTTTGAATGGCAGCTATAAAACATCATTTTCCAAACATGAAGTCATTATGTACAGTATCCCTTGAAAAGCATATTTTTTCCAATTTGTACCACAGGTGTTTATTGAGGATTTGAGAGAGGAATTTGTCAAAGAGTTCATCTTTCCAGCTGTACAAGCTAATGCAATTTATGAAGATCGCTATTTGATGGGAACAGGTAGGTGTTATATCTACTTTTTACTTGGTGTTATATCCAATAAAAATCTCCAAACAATGACTTTTACAACTTCTACTTCAACAATTTCTTTGTCATAGCTGTTGCCAGGCCTTGCATTGCTCGTCGTCAAGTCCAGATTGCTCTTCGTGAGGGTGCAGAATATGTGTCCCATGGTGCTACAGGAAAGGTAAAATTAGTATAGGTAATAACATGATTTCAAGTGCAATTTTGTGTTGATAAGCATGGGTAAATTATTTTTCAAAGATAAGGTCAAGTGCAATTTGTAGTCTTTGAAAAATTTACAAATGTTTATTACACCAAATTACAAGAGAAATCATGTTATATTTCTTGTAATAATGTACTTGAAAAAACATCACAGAGAGTCAAGGGAGACAAAATTTTGAAAGCATGTGTGCCCTATTTGTAATTTGCACTTGAGTTACAACTTTGTATTCATGTTACAACTTTGCACCTGTGTTACATGAGAATGCACTTGTTTTCAGCCAATCAGAAACACATAATTTTTTTTGTACATTATAAGATCCCTTTCAGTGAAGGTTGTTGTTGTCTTTGCAGCCATGTTGAAATCAAGGTTTTTTTTTATCAACTGGAACCATAAAAATACCCAGTGATCCCAATTTTGTAGCTTGAAGCTGTCATCAAATCAAAATGATTTGTTTGGCCACCTTGATCCAAGCATTTACTGAATGTACATGTTGTCTGTAGTCTGTGTTTTCACAACTTTCTTTAAATTGTTTAATGTAACATTGAGTTGAAAATACATTATTTATTGACCTAGTGCTAATCAAGGAATTGTAACCTTAAGTACTTGAAGAACCAATAACTTTCACTTGCCTAATGGTGACTATTAATTTATGAATTTATTTAACAGGGTAATGATCAAGTGCGTTTTGAGATGACTTATTATGCACTGTATCCAGGGGTTAAGGTAGGTTGAAAGCTAAGCATTGACATTAAGGTTTACCTGTTTAACAGATGTATGTCTGTTCAGTAATGGCACACAAGAGGCAGCTGAGTACGTCACCTGCAGGAAAACTACCAAAACTCACAGAAAAACTACTTCAACTTACAACATAAAAATGGAGTTTGTTTTACAAAAAATGTCTTCCACTAAGAAATGTTGAATTAAGTGATATTTGAGATTGAAAAATATCCTTCATGGATATTTAAACTTGGCTCCCATGATGAGATTGTTATCTTTGTGCCTGATGATATAACTGGTACAGGGCGTGGTGAGGAATAACATGTTTTCAAATCAGACAAAATTCTAGTACTTTTTCAATATTTTTACAATAGCAATTATATCATTTTTGAATCCACAGGTTATTACTCCATGGAGACTTCCAGAATTTTATGACAGATTCAAGGGAAGAAAGGACCTGTTTGACTACGCAGAAGTAAACATTACTTTACTTTACAAAGTTACTTTTCTCTTTCTCAGTACTTGTGTGTGTAAAATGAGTAAAGTGTCAAATTTATGATTTGAATCCCATTAACCATAACAATTTTTATCAAAATAATTGAGAACACAGTTAATTTTCAGCCTTTTTCAATTTTGCTTCTTGTAAGCATTGCATACCAAGGCCCAGTTGTATAAAGGATGGATAACACTATCCTGCAGATAAATGACTATCCAGCTGAAAAGTGATTGCAAAATTTACTGTGGTATCCTCAGGATTGAGATTTATCCAGTGCATAGCATATTCCAAGCTTCAAAGAACTGGGGCAAGATGATTAACTTGTTTATAATTTCCCTGCAGCAAAAAGGCATACCATTACCAGTCACCCCAAAGAAGCCATGGAGTATTGATGCCAACCTTATGCACATAAGGTGAGGATTTTACCACAAAATTAAGTTCTGTAAAGAGTTTTTATGGTGATGTTTTGAGCCTTAGCCCCTCATTAGAGCAAAGAGAAGAGAAGTTCTGTAAAGTTTACTAATAATTTAAACTATAATTAGCTGAATATGACCTTAGTTGTTTTACCCAGTTTTTGAATTGCTAAACTTCATGTGGATATCACAGTACTATTATGTATTAATTACTGTCATCACTTGTTTTGTTCCAGTTATGAATCTGGAATTCTTGAAAACCCTAAGGTCAGTGAGTGGTAATTGATCAATGGGTTCATGGTACTTTCATCTTTATTTTTGAAGATATTGACTCAAAGGAAGCTTAAGTTATCTTTTCTGTTGGGAGAAAAGATTAGTGAGCCTCCCTCAAACTGGATTTTAACATTTTGAGCCCTGTGTCTTTCTAAGGCCACTGTCTTGTGTTTTTGGGTAAGGCACTTGATATTGCCTGAGTACTAATTCCTCAGGTGGCTCAGTCTTCTATCGAAACCTTATGTCTTTGTAACTAAAACCTGCTTTTTCCTTCTCAGACCATGGCTCCAGATGACCTTTACTGCTTTACAACTGATCCAAAATCTGCTCCTGATGAGGTAAGCTTTTAATGTTTCTTGTTTATAATTATGAATTTCCTTAACACAGACTTCTTCAATGTATCATGCAGGTGAAGTGCTCTCATTTACATTTTGATCAGGAGGCAAAGGGTTTTATAAATGATGCATAATAATATTAAACCCAACATTTATTCTGTTAGCCTTGGCAAGTTGGGCTTCCTGGTTAAATATTATTATTATTATTATTATTATTATTATTATTATTATTATTATTATTATTATTATTATTATTATTATTATTTCATCATCAGTTTTATCTTTGCTTATCTTCTTTCATCAGCCAGAACAGCTCGAGCTTGAGTTTAAGAAAGGTAATTATTTTAAAACTATACTTATAAAATATCCTTCCTTTAAGCATTGTTTTAAATGAATGTTTGTCTTATAAAAGTAATTTTTAATACATATTTCATGTAATTTTTTGATTCTCATTGGTTTGAAATTGACATAAGGCATAACTCTGAGCTGTCAGATCACTTGAGGCTGACTTTCAGAGAAAACAATATTTAACTAAAGGTCTGGAGGTCCTGAGGTGTGTTTATCAGTGTGAAGATAAGCTGGTAACCTGTGAAGTCAGAAAGCAAGGGCACAGGGGAAAGAAGAGCCTCAGACAAAGCCAGAGAAATTGACCTTGTATGGATGTCCTTGAGCTTTCGTTTCATGGATTTCTTTTGACATGCGCAAATAACTTTGCTGTCCTAAGAGTCTCAGCTACTTGTCCAAGGGACCTGTTTTTTTAAAAGTTTTTTTTTTTTAACTTGAAGCAAGTAACACACACACACACAGACATGACCTCACTCACTGTTATCTTTTAAACCCCAGGTGTCCCAGTTCGAGTTCAGAACTTGAAAGATGGCACAGTTCATGACAAACCATTGGATATTTATCTTTATCTTAACAAAATGGGGTCAGTAGAACATGGCTTGGAGATAATTATGTGGAAATAATTCAGTGTGTTAAATTAGGTATGGTTCTGATTTGTATCATCGGAAATTAAGAGCGACCGAGACGTACTTGAGAAATCAGGATTTTGTCCCTTTATTCGTCTTGCGTTCAGCAGTTTTTCTCATGCAACATTTAGGGTGAAGAGAAAAGTAGACATTCTCATAACATTAAAAAACATTTTACTGATAATCGTCAGTCGAAGTGAAGGTCAGACGACCTTTTTTGTGGCATGGTAATGAAAAAAGAAACAGCTTTGTACTCTGCCACTATTTTTGCCATAAATAAACCAATGATGTATTACGGTAGTTACACCTGGTGAAAATAGCGGGTCATTTTTCACATCCCAGTTGTTTTTCCCTTCATGTTTTAGTGGACGCCATGGTGTTGGAAGAATTGACATCGTGGAAAACAGATTTGTTGGAATGAAATCCAGAGGTGAACGTTTTGCTGTATTGCATGATGTCCTTAAATCCCTTGGCTGTATGTGTGTTTGTAAATGATGTCAATATGTTTTCGCTAAGTCATGTCAAAATATGCTTGCTCGCATTGTCAGCCTTCCTTTCTGGCAATGGAAAATTAGGAGAGGAAGCGGAGAAATCCTTTCATTTTGTCTTGTAACCAGCGAAGAGGCTGCTGCACAATGGGAAAGACGTAGCTCGCGTTCCATGTCCTTCTCTCTCCCCACTTCTTGCGAAAACTTGCGCTCTAAATTGTTACTCCAGGGCTTGCTACTTAGGCTGTACCGTATTTGGTACAATACCAATGATTAAGAGCGCTCAATAAAGGGTTTGTTACAGTTTTTCCTCATATCTATTCTATCTTTCAAAGGAATCTATGAATGCCCCGGTGGTACCATATTGCGAGCTGCGCACTTGGACATTGAGACATTCACAATGGACCGGGTAAGTTGTGAGAGACGTGAGTTCATTAAATGGATGCTAATATAAAACCATGCAGAGTTGTATGAGAGATGACGTGTAAGCGTTTTTCTCTTCTTCTGTATGGAAGGAATTGCGCAAAATCAAGCAGATGTTGGCCGGCAAGTTTTCAGAGCAGGTTTACTATGGATATTGGTACAGTCCTGAAGGGGATTATGTGCGTTTCTGTTTGGACAAGAGTCAAGACAACGTGGAGGGAAAAGTGACACTGGATCTTTTCAAAGGAAATGTATGTTTTCTCAATTCTGTTACAGTTTTCGTGAAACTCTGTGGGTGCCTGAAATTGTCTCCTGAACACTGTATAAATTACGTTAACGGTTAAGGTTGTAAACTTATGGGGTATATTGGCAACATGCACGACACACATAAGAACTCTACCACCAAAACGCACGTCTGGAAATGAATTCTTGGGCATTATTTTTGTCCATTTTGCGCTGCTATAGTGAGCCTATTGCCTTCGTTATGAAGTTGACTGCCTGAAACGCTCGTGGCGTACTTGCTAGAAGCCGTAATTCTAATTAAGCAAGCTTTGTTGCTATTTTTGTTGTCAGAAGTACATGTAACTATTTCAGTGAATATTTATTTGTATTAATTTTCTTGTGTAAGGTTTACATCAAAAGCCGTGAGTCTAAAGCATCCCTCTACAACGAGGAATTAGTCAGGTACATCACCTTGTTCTTTTATAGGCCCGATAAATGTCTGCTAAGTTGCAAGTCTGAGTGAATTTCCAATTACCCATGTTCCATTTTAGTAATGATGGTGACTTCTGCTAAGGTTATCGAAACATCAGTCACTACTACCGACAACAATCCTTCTTAGAACTACCTTCACCCGGACGATCAGACTGCACAAACATCTCCGTTTCTCGAGTAACATTAAAGTTCAAAAGAATTTCTTTCATTGAGGAAATTTTACTCATCCATTTATGCAAATCCGTTACTGAGCGATAGATTCCTCACTTAGTTTTGCTTTAAAATTGTCAATCATTACTTTGAAGGAAATACGAAAAATGTACGAGTTCTTATTTCTTCCTCAGCATGGATACCATTACTGGCTACAACCCACAAGACGCAGCTGGCTTCATCAGAATTAATGCTCTGAGGTAATGAAACATTCTATACGTACCCTTAGTCCTTCTTATGTAGCAGAGGGAAAGCTGATCAAATTTATCGACAGAGAAAAAAAGTTAATTGGGTTAAAAGTTAAAGGTTAAAAGGTAAAAAGTTAATTCTGCCTTTCTTCACCTCGTGTCTGGTTTAGAGTACTTCTGTCATTCTCTTAACCAATCAGCCTGAAACCAATCTTGACTTGATCCGTCGCCTTTTTCTTCGCCTCAGGGGATCTTCCTGTTGCAATTTAGTTCTCCTTCTTCCTTATTAACGTTTGTGTTTACTTTGGCGACACTCAATCGGAATACAAACATAATAGTCATCAGGTATACTAGGCCAAATAAATTATTGTGGAATGTGTTAAAAAAAAAACCCATTTACGAGAAAAGAGGCTAGAGTCCAAACTCCGTAGAAAATATGTATTAAACCTGTTGCATGTAAATGAACCATAACATTTGGCTAGAGTAAAAACTCCGAAACGTCTTAAAATTCGAAACATAGGGGTAAAAAATTTGAGCCAACAAAAGCTCATAAACAACTAAAACTCCATGAAAAACAAACAACAACAGTAGGCGTACCTAAAAAACGGAGTATTTACCGTAGTTGATCTTCTTTTGTATTTAGCCAAGCGCCTCAATAAAAGGAGGTGGCTTGAAGTATGATTATATGAAACTCCCTTTTAAAATCAAGAGTAAAACCCCCAAGGGTCATCATTTATCGCCGGGGGAGGGAGAATCGGGTTTTGTTGTTGTTGTGTTGTTAATATTCCTATCAACACCCCCCCCCCTCCCCTCATTAGCAGTTAATTGTCAGTCAATTTTCTATCTTCCCTCCTTTATATTCTGTTGGCGATGACTGATCCACCCTCCATTCCCCCTGAAAACCAAATGACCCCACCCCTCCTGTTTTATTCTGCGGTGAGTGTAATTAAGAATTCAGTGACCACCTTGAGCTTTGCTTGTTTATTCTTCTGTTTACTCAAGGCTTCGTGAACACAGCCGACTCAGAAAAGCGCTGAACAAGGGTGAAGAAAATGGCGCCTGATGTGTGGCAGGTGACTCTTGTAGTAACGAATAAGTCCCTGGAAAAATTGCGTGGAGAAATTGGTGACAAAGCGAAGCTATTAAAATACAACACTGCGGGTATTATTATTTTTAGCAAACTAGAAACTAAACTTGTGTTTATTTTTTTAGTTAGAATAAAATTCTCGCAATAATAGAGGCAATGTTTGAAGGTTAATTTGCGTGAACCTCTCTCAGTCAGTTGTTTGTTGCCCCCTCTATGTCCAATATTATTAAATTGACTATATTTTTTTAATCAATTCGCCGTCCGTTTTGTCTGATGCCCCTTTAGTTTTCTGCAGTCGCTGTTTTTTCGGCGAAGAAAAGTTAATGATTCACAATGATTTAAAAAGTTCTTGGAGTAAAATGCATGAGAGGCTGTGACTGTCTCCAGTACAATCCTTTCACCTATTGTGCTCGTTCGCATGAGCTGCGGTCGGAAATTTATAGTCTTGTGAATTTTAAATGAAGGCCACAAATGATTCGTTGCCGTCCTCAGTAAAGCCACATACCTAGAACTCAGGAACTGAAAGGGTTGTGGATTTTGTGGACTCCCCATGTACGAAAGTGATTTACTGGTGTACAAAAACACCCTAACCCTAAAGCAAAATGGTGCTTTTAACAGACCTCTTGTCCTTAGTTTCTTAAGCTGCCACACCCTCCTCCCTGATATTCGTAACGAGATGTCTAAGATCACATTATACTGGGGTTTGACGAAGAATGTTCGTCAATTACAAACAAGAGATGTATTTCATAAAACTCCTTCCACTGAGCAGCATAAGGTGTGAGAGCAGTTGTCAAAACCTCGTGATTTCGTTTCTTCTTGTGTAATCGACTGTGGTTCGTAAGTGATTCTTATCAGGTATTAACTGCATCAATTGGTTAAGCTTTAAAATAGGCCAAACAAACCGCGCATATTCTACGTACACGAATTCAAATCATGCGATATATATAGTGGAAATGATCAAGAGTGTATTTTATTTTAAATTTTCAACTATTATTGTAATCGTATGTACAAAAAACTGACATAATTTCAGCAAAATTTGTGGAAATTTCCCAACTCTCCCCCAAAAATCAGCTGCGTACATGTCATGCGCAAATGCTTATTAATATATTTACAAACATGGTTTTAAAAAAGTCATCTTGAGTTCAACATCTCGTGTTCAAACATAGTTGATTAAATGATTACAAACGTTTTCAAGCGATGAAATGAATGAAATTTAGAGAGCAAATTTAACCCAGCGGTCAGCTTTTCTTTAGCTTCAATCAGAGGAAGAGAGAATTGAACTTGATTGCATTTGAAATCTGTAGAATATAAAGAGAACCAGTGTCAACGTACAATCTCAGGGTAAACAAAGCACCAAAGGTAAAGTAAAAGGCCTATGCTCTTGTTACAATAAGAAGATTTTGACAGCTTTTCTCATAGCCTGCAGAGCATACGTAATTTTGGCGAGTGCTCAGTATTTCCTGAGCGAAAATTATGGTCGCCTCCTTTGATTTTAATGACAGCGGAAGGCTGGGGAGAGAGAAAAACTTGTACACAGCGGGTGTGCGAAGGTCAAAATTAAGGAGAGGGGTGGGTGCCTTTCCCTGCCCCCCCCCCCCCCCCCCACTGCTTCCTTTATCTTCAAATTAAACATGGCCGGTTGAATAAAGAATCGCGAGATTCCTAAAGTTAAATCGCCCTATTAAAACGGCTGCTCTGCGGGCTACTCTTCTCAGAAAATGCTTTAATTACTTAATTACCTTTTAATAGTATGATCCAAACCATTTGTTGAAAGTCCTGCCCAAGAATCCTTGTCCTGAAATATAATGCACAATTAAGACACAGTTGAGACTGCTTAACAGAAAGGAGAGAGAATTAGATTAACTAAATTTAGGTTGAAATAAGGCCACATGCACCTTCGCTGAATGAGGAACTCCAGCCCCTACCACACCCCTTACTATCCTGCTAATAAGCCCCTTTTGAGTAAATCAACCCCCTGTTTTTCTGTGCGGGCTTTTAACTGGGCACTTACGGTATGTATTTGGTTCGATCAACTTACCAGTTTGTTGAGTAGATTGGCTATTGAAGTGATAAGTCTGAGGGTAAACGGAAACGACCTGAGATCCTCTTGGAACGATGCACATAGAAGGTAATGGTCGATGCTGAGAATATGGACTCCCTAGACAATCAAAGAAGGGTTAACAAACCTTACCTTACTCCGGAATTTTTTCACTGATAAATTTCTGTTCAATTAGACACCATTCACTAAAGGAGCGTGGTAAGTTTCTCAAGACCCCAGTACTTTAGGGCCGAGTGCAAGTCGCTGTACGAAAATGAGCCCGCGCTACACTACTGAAGTAATCTGACGAGACTGATCGAAAACACGGAGTCCAGATCCGAGAAAACGGTAAAAGTGGAGCGTATTTTTCCTTATAATATTCTTAAGGTAGCTTCATTTTAAATTCTTCCTATTCATATTTGTGAACTTGGTAGAAATTTGACTTAATGTGTAAAAAGATCTCTGAACCTTTTAGCTCTCCTGACCAAAACTGAATGTTTTTACGTTCGACTTTTCAGAATGAGCAAACAGTGTCCCTGATCGCGAATGTAATGTAATGTTCAACTGATCATACCTCTGGCTTTCTTTGAAAACGGGTTGATCTCACAGGGTGTGCCGGTGTTCTTGAATGCAGCATCATTTGAGATAATTGCCGGACTGTTTCTCACAGTTTCAACTTCAGCAAAGTTGGGTGTAGGGGTATGTGGTGGTCTTTTAAGACCTTTAGCTCTCTTGGAAAAGGGATTCACCCCGTTATCTGTGATATTGTTGGATGGAACACCTTTGAGATGGACTGGTGGAGTGTTATTCTCATTTTCAGCTCCTCTCGTGTTAGCAGCAGGGCAATTAAGTGCTGACAATGGATTAATCTGTCCGCTTGAGTACTGAGTGGTAGTATTAAATACTGTATTCTTGAACACAGCATCATTTGAGGAAATTGTCTCGCTGTTTCTGACGGTTTGAGCTGGAAACATTCTGGCCGCAGGGATGTGTGATGGTTTCGTAACGCCGATAGCTCTCTTGGAAAAGGGATTTACCCTCTTACCATAAGAACCAGTGATAATGTTGGATGGAAACCCACTGAGTTGAACTGGTGGAACTTCAGTTCTTGGGATGTTAGCGGCTGAACAATCGATTGTTGGTCGATCCAGCGCCTCGGCTTTATTGGAAAATGATTTAATCCGTGTGCCAGAGGACCGAATGGTGATGTTAGATACAGGATGCCTTGGTTGGATTGGCGGGGTACGCTTGTCGACTTCAGGCGTCTCAAACATATTCACAGGACTTTGTGCTGGTCGGTCCAAGCGTTTTGCCTTCCTAGAAAACGGGTTGACACTCTGACCAACGCAACCGGTTATCAGGTTGAATTCATCTCTTCGGGGTGGTGAAAGGTTTTTCTTTATTTCAGCTCTGACAAAACTGCCATCGGGGGCGAATGGTGGTTGACATTTCAATTCAGGACAGTCTTTAGTGAAAAAAAAGAAGTGCAAGAGCAAGTTTTATTTGGGTCATTTTTCAGACTGGCAAAGCGAAATATGAACTTGGACCACCTCATATTTTTCCTATGTATTCAGTATCAGTAAGAGACTATAGTCTCTTGCTAAGAGTAGAGTACTGATGGCGTATTCTTCCTTAAATCTCATTTTGTGTTTTAGTTATGAGATCAGCGAGTCCTTCTCTGAATATGATGAAGTGAGTACTCGGCTAAGTTCGCACAGCGATTCGGTACCTTGATAATTCGAGTGTTTACTTGTTTTTGGTTACACGTCATACCACCCAACTTCAGCACAATAAAAGTTGGGCTGTTGAATTTGCGAAATTATGTTATACAGGTTTCCTTCGTCATACCTTGGGCTACTTCAGTGGAGGGCTTTGAATTTGATTTGACATTCTTCATGGCCTCAAGTTCTCTTGCTGTTACTGGAAAGTTTTGAATTTCGAGACATCCACCGTTGTTAGATAGAGTGTCAAACCATGATGGTTGATGGTCGAAGTAAGCTTTACCTAATAAAGAGAAAGTTTTGAATAATTGTTCATGGACGAAAACGTTATCAACGATTCTCAAGTTTTGGGGTTAAGTGCCTCTTCTTGTCTTGAGGATAGGAAATGAAATTTTTGTGACTTTACTCAAATGCGGTACATACTTTATTTTCAGGACTTCTAATCTCGTCCCAGATCCTACCGTTTAACTGTAACTTCAATGAAAGTTCTGGGTACGTGACTAGGTCGCTTCGCCAATGGCATGAGCCGCGATTTTTACCTAGAGGTGTATTATTTGTTCTGAGTTTTTTGTTTTTTGTTTTTTTAATCTTTTTTGAACTGTGAAGCGATTGTTTTTTTACAGTGATCGATAATGCAGACCCCTCGTCCTCTTCCCATCAATGTTTCCTTGCGATGCTTGGAGACTAACTTTGGCCATAGAAATGCCATTTCAAGTAACATACTCACCATTAAAAAATTGTAGCTCGCTTTGGGATTCCTCTAACTTTGTTGTATTCCTCATGACACTAACATTTGCCCCACCCTTGAGCTCGTCGATAGTCTTCCTTGCCTCCTGTAGGTTTTCATCCATTGCCGCCAATTGCTTGGAAAAATCCAACTGATTTCTTTGCCAGCTTTGTTGTAATTGGGACAGTTTTTCTTTGAGATCAGAATTCTCTTTATCTTTCTCAAAGAGAGCTTCTTTAAGAAAGGTGATCTCCTTCTCCTTAGCTGTTAAAATACAAGAAATAAACGTCCATTTTATAAATACTTAGAATAAAAGATAGATCAAATTCAAGTTTTGAATGATAAGGCAAATTGGGAAAATATTACAAAAATGGAACTGTTTCGGACGGAATGAGAAGCAGGGGTTTGGGGGAATATTTATTGTCAAGAGTCTACGGTTAAATGGGTCTTAAATGGTTTCCCTGTGCACGTGCACTTCTCTTATCCCGCATGCGTCATTACTTAACTAACCGTTAATTTCTGTTTCGAGGTGGATGATCTTTCTCGTTAGTTGTTCCTCTTCTCTCGCAGCCTGATAGAAAATATGTCAAAAATAGCATTTTTGAATTTAAGAAATTAGAAGTGAACAAGAAAATTGAGGATGCTAAACATAATCAACGTACAGCGGAATGATACTGGAATGTCGAAGAGTGGCGTCATAATCTGAGAACTTTAGCTGCACGCGCTTTTTAATCTCTTCATGAAGAAATGTTTTCAGAGTCAGTTTCCTGATCACCTTTAATGCCAAAAAATCCAATTTTTTAAATGTTTTTCTTCAATGTTGAACGGGCTTAAAAATGAACTTATTTTGAAGGGAAGAAATTACAAAGTAAATTAAACCAATTACAACCCATTTTCATTGCATGTGTATTGAATGAGGTCTATTTGCAAGACGGCGTTCGCGAAAAAATCGCAGAAGTTCTTTTCTTCATGCTCCTTCCAATATCAAATTCTAAATTCTGAATTCGTCTCCAAAAGAGACACACTTTTGTCTGAGTATAATTTGAAGGGGACCGATTTTCTCTCAAACTGAACCCACTACGAACTTTTTCACAGCTTCCATATTGAATGAGGTCTGCTAACGCGTCCGCAAAAATAAAATCTGAGGTTTTTTCTTCGTGCTCCTTCTGATCATAAATTCTAACTTTTTTATGCTAAATGTATGATTTTACGAAAGCGAAAAAAGGCCTAAAGCTCGGGAAACGCCCACCTCATTAGCCCTGATCCATGCTCCGTGTGAGGCCTCCAAAGGCTCATGATAATTCTCAGCGGAACGATTAGTGACACCGGCTTCTTCATCAAAATTTCTCGCAGAACAGGATTCCATCACGGACTCTATGTCCTCTGTGATGTTTTTGTTCATTTTGGAATCAATATCTTTGGAAAATACAAAAATATATTCTCTTTCACTTTGCTTCAGTAAGAACCGAGCTTTCAATTTGCTTATGACAAGTTGCATAGCAACGTCTTTGTTTCGTCACTTGTTGACATCACGCCAGAGTTGAAGCGTTAAGCTTGGGCACTAGAATTTTGTCGAAGCGTCAGAAACCAGAGGTAGCAATTAATACGCTTTAACAGTAAAAAAACGTCACTAAAAAGAGACTATTGTTTTCAGTTTATTATTTGCTTTCCGCGGAGGGCTTACCTTAAATACAGTTCATAGATTCTAACAATCATACATCGGTTCTGTTAACTTTTCATTGCTTCCCTTGGCCAAGATTGTAACTGATAACCTTTGTGCGGTGGGTGCATTTATTGACCGTGGTGAACCCCAATTTGTAGTATCTTCGCCAAAATTTTTAGACGAGAAGAAGAGTCTTCAAGTTCTCTTTTAAATAACCAGACTGTTTTATTCTGAGTTGTGTATTTAGCTCCACACTTCCCCCATTCCCATTTCTCATATTCTCCCGTCTCTCCTCTGTTTCCCTGCTTCTCTGTTTCTTTGCTCGTCTGTTCTCTCTTTTTTACGTTTCTCTGTTCCTTTGTTCTCCTGTCCTCCTATGTTTCTCGTCATCCATGTTCCGAGCGGTCTTCCCTTTCACGTTTTCTGTTTCCCACTTCCCTCTTTCCGTTGTCTCATTCCTTAGTTATTTCTTTCCTCTTTTTCCAAAACATTTTCTGCGACACTATTCTTCCCTTCAATCCTATTCCTCCGTCCTTCTAATTTCGATTTGCCCACACAAAAGCAATGGAAAAGAAATTCCAACCAGCAAACAACGCTTTCCGAACTATTTTTTATTTTCCAAAATAGCCTATTTTTTGATAAATCAATAGTTTTCCTCCGCATGTTTAGGAAAACTAGGAAAATTAATCAAATTTTGCACACAAAATCTTAAAAAGATTAAAAAATCTTATTTTCCCCTGCAAGATTGAGCATGTCCGTAAAAAACTGTGCTATGAGTCAACCGTGGAAAGATGCAGAGGTAATCTGCAACCACTCAGTAAATGGATATTAAAGAAATTCTGCAACCAGTCACCTGATGTTACAGAAATTCTGTAACCACTCAGTCACTAGATGTCACAGAAATTCTGTCACCACTCAGTCACAAGTTGTCGCAGAAATTCTGCAGCCACTCAAGCACTAATTCTCGCAGAAATTCTGTGATCACACAGTCACAAGCTGTCGCACAAATTCTGCGACCACTCAACCACTGGATGTTGAAAAAATTCTGCGGTCACTCAGTCACAAGTTGTTACAGAAATTCTGCGACCCCTCGGTCACAAGTTGTCCCAGAAATTCTGCAGCCACTCAACCACTGGATGTCGCAGAAATTCTGCAATCACTCAGTCACAAGTTGTCGCACAAATTCTGCGACCACTCAACCACTGGATGTTGCAAAAATTCTGCGATCACTCAGTCACAAGTTGTCGCAGAAATTCTGTGGCCACTCAACCACTGAATGTCGCAGAAATTCTGCGATCACTCAGTCACAAGTTAAATTCTGCAACCACACAACACATAAGTCATTATGCCGCAATCCTAGTACACGCGTGTTCTAAAGCAACGTTACTACGCATGTGTTACGACACTCTATGTAACTTTACACAAAGAGCTAAGACCAATTTCATAAAGGAATGGAGTCAAGGAAAAAACTCAAGATTGATTTGTCCTCAAAGCAGCATATCTTTCCTTGAGAAATTTTCTTGTTGATGGCATTAGCTTGTTGTCTTCCGTAAGCTCAAATGAACTGCACACTACACAGCTCTTAGGAAGGATCTCCACCCATGGTCTAGATTTTTGTCGGGAACATGCTGAGGAGTCCATTTTCCATAGTAAGTACCCTTCCAATAATGCACCTTAAAAATGTCCTCCTCGACGGCCAGGACCTTGCCAATGCAGGGCAGTTTATCGTAATTGGCGAAGTACATAGCCACAAAGCAACTGACTTGAAGTGTAGCGAGGAAATCGTCTACCATTTCAATAGGCGCTTCCCTTTCCCTCGGGGTCCTGTAACGACCTTAAATCTGAAATATTCAACAGACATGTCATAAGAATTTGCTTGTTTAGGTGCGTATTTCGACTGAGATGTATCAGTTATCAATTGTTCCTATCATTTTTTCATTATTTGATTAATTATAAGTAATGGATTATGTAACCGTGTCATATTCTATTAGTGCAATTTGGTGTGAATAAGCACAAATAAGTTTTCCAAAGACAACAAAATTTTTGCACGAGCCTGAAGGGCAAGTACAATTTTGTGGTATTTGAAAAATTTACAAGTGCTTAGTAGACCATATTGCAAGAAAAATTTAGGTTATTACTTGTTAATAATGTACAGACAAAATTTTGAAAGTGTGTTTGCACTATTTGTAATTGGCACTCATGTTACAACTTTGCATTTGTGCTACATGAGAATTAACTTTTTTTCAGCCACTCAGAAGCATGTAATTTTATCTTGTACATTATTATATATCTAAAATTGGACTTGTGTAATCTATAACTGGATGCAGAAGGGGTTAGAGTAATGGACCCCTCTAATTATTTCTCTTTTATATCTGTAGGACCATTTGAAGGCTTGGCTTTTTAGTGCCCACTGCTGCATTTTAATTATTATTCACCTCTGTGATAGGCTGGATCTCCTCCTCTCTGAGCTCTAAAAGTTCATGTGGGAGTTCACCATTTGAGGCTAAAACAGTCCTTGGAGTATTCTTTAATTTATCCACTGGCCAAGTGTAGTTGTCAGGTACTGATAATAGATTAAACTCTGTTTTTGCTAACCAGGATTCCCACTCTTCAGATGCTTTTAAGGGCATATTCTTGGGATATTTGGTGGGAATATCTCTCTTCAATCCCTCCATGTTCAGTTTATTTAGAGAAGGAGTCACAGGATTTGGCTTCCCTGAGGGTAAACTCTAGTGTGGCAAAAAAAGACAAACAATGAATTTGATATATGAAAGCTCACAAGGCAGCCAGGTGGACAATCAAACATGGTTTGATACTATTCTGGTTTAAATATTTAATAACTGTAACTTCTCTGTTAAATTCAACAAAATTAATCTCTAAACCAGAGTAGCATCAAACCATGTCTAATAATATATTTGTTGGCTCAAATTTCCTTGACAGACATTAATGAGTGTTTTCTCTTTCCATTTCATTCTTCTTTGACTTGTACACATTATGGTCCTTTCCCAGACAGGGAAAAGCAGTGAGATACATTTTAAGTTGAGGATCAATTTAAACCCAGCATATTCTTAACATGTAATGTCAGCAAACATTCAGTTATTTGGAGCATTAATGGTTTTTTTCAGGCCTATATTGTCAGTGCCAATGCTACTTCAGAAAACATCAGGTAAGCTTTTAAGTTACTATTTTAACTATGAATCAAGAACCACAGATTAAGAATTTCATATGCTAACCTTCAGCATTATAATGGGCTCTTTCCATGGCTCATGGCTCCAATTTCTGTAGTGCATAACTGCTTTTCCGTCCTCATTCGATGTAAATTTGAAACACTTTGGAACTATGTGTTCATGTAACTCCTCACAATAATCACTAATCCATGATTTTATGTCATAAACCATCTTGAGCATATAGGGCTCAGGTGTTGGATTCTTCATGCATGTTTCTAGTGCCTTTAGTAATTCTAAGTGACAGTGAAGTGTAAAATAAATTAAGATCTTACATATCCTCTGTAAGTAAACATTTACACCAAATTTATAACATGTCAATGTCACATTTAATCTGTTAATTAAAGTGGAAGAGTTCATACTTTCTAAAGACTAAATTTTGAACCATGCTCTTGCCTCATGCAGATATTTTTTCCATCATAGTGTTAGTTGCAACGTATTTATATTGATAGATAACTTATATGAATATTTGTCACACAAGATTACCACATTGCACAGGCAGTTTTGATTGTTGGACCTCTCAGTTACTCCAACTGTACCTTGAAATAATTACTTTATGTTACAACTTTAAACGATTAGCATGAAAATGCCCTATTAAAGGGACAGAAGCTAAAGCCTTGGACATTGTTAAGAAGGGGAAACCTGTGCTTAGACAGTGGCAGTTAAAACCCCTCTGCAAGTTGTCTGTAAAAGACCAAACGTTTCTCCTAAAAAAGGTGAGATATGTGTGACATTGCCCCACAAATCATTATCAAGTGTATCATGTCTTCAAATTTGTATGAGATGATGTATTAATTCAATTGTTCAATTTTATTATCATCATGATCATCGTCAAGAATGTATCTCCCTGAATTTTTCTTTGCTCTTTTAAGCTCTGTGGTTGAAGAGAGGTTTCATACTTTCATAAAAATAGTGAACATGTGAATGCTGATTATCTCCGCTTGTTTTTATTCATCGTTTTTAGGTGGCAACTTGTGAGTTAAGCCTGGAAGAGATGAAATTTTCTGCCTCCGAAGTAAAATCTCTAAGACCTGTCCAGGAGGCCATTGTGAAATTCTTCAAGATCAGCACATGGGAAGATGCTATTGATGAATTTAAAGGCGCCGTATCATCTGAAAAGTTGTTGCAGTTTGCTGTAAGTTGACATGTAGTAGTACGTACCTCAGTGACTTATTTGACTGACAATTTTTCTGTTTACACTGTAGTTAAATTATGTCATATTGCCCTTCTGAGGCGATTTCCCTTTTGAAGTTAAATATTTCAACTTCCCCATAAAATTTCCTTCATTTCTAGATATTATGAATTCCATCCCCTGAGACAAAAAAAACCTTCGTTTCGGATATTCAGTTTTAGAATCGATGCATGGAGCAAATACTGGTCGATGTACTTAGTTATTCGTTCATTATCTCGTAGGGAAAAGATTTTGAACAGACTCACGAGTTCCAGAAATACTTGCAACGTTTAAAAAGAATACGAACAGGAGAGGTCATTGAGACGGCCGACCTCATAGAGGGAAAAATGGGAGCATTTGGGCTCGTAGTATTTAGCAACAGCCTTTTAGACGTACAACAAAGTGATCTGGCAAAGTTGCCACTTTACGAGGGAGCGTTTTTAACCATAGGTGAAGCAGGGGAGCAGTGCGAGGTAAGATTAAAATCTAGGTGAGACTCTCCCGCTACCGTTCGACTATCGAGTGACTTGGAAAGAAATGAATTAAAGTGACGAGGCATTGTTATTTTAATTGCCATTGTTAGCATAAGATGTTATGTTTCTTTTCGCCTTCCGTTGTTTTAATTTTCCGAAAAGTTTCATCTTAACCAGGAAATTTTATAAGATGAGTTAAATAAACTTAATATGAACATTTACTTCATTTTTATGGTAAAAAATCATGTTACGTTCCAGTTAGGCTGAGAACGGCAGGGAAACGAATACATGCAGGATTTTACTACAATCCTAATCAAATTCTGTTTTTTGTGGACAACTTTTAGTTGTTTGCATTTACTTATTACGACTCGTATTTTTCTCTTCACAGAATCCTGATGATGTAATAAGTACTGTTACCCGCATTAATTTCTGTAAGCTCACATCATCCAACGTTGTTTTATTTACAATGGCTGAAGGTGTGAAAAATCTAAAAGAAAAAATGTTAAAAGAGGGCGCTACACTGGTACAGCATGGCTACTTTTACGTCCCAAAAAAACCTCAAACTGCAGTGCAAGGTAAGATACTTCTAGAATTAAACAACTGTCCTCAGAAGAAAGTTTTAAAAACTTCATAGTCAACAGAATTGAATTATTTGATTTACTTGTGGAGTTAACAAAAATATATATCATGATTCTATAATCTGAACTTGTTTTGAACTTTCTCCTTGAGAGCGTATTACATGCACAGTTTATAGTAAGGTTTGGTGAATTAAAACGTTCCAGCACTGTCGAAAGAAATTAGTAAGTATATAATACGCATATATCATATTGTTGATACTCATTTTAATTTTTTTGGGTCCGTATTTATAGGAAGCCTTGGAAACCTTTGTTGTTGGACACTGGTCTGTCTCAAGGCAAATGACCTCGAGACATTTGTCCGCCTGTAGAGAAAATTTGATTTTCTTGAATAAAGAAAGTTCATTCCCAGCACAAGGCTACACATGGCTACACATGGAAAACCTCTCCAGAGAAGGGGACGTGGTTATTGATGCTGGAACCCCCAATGGCCTTGCAATAGTGGCTGCGTTGAGAAAAGGGCGAAGCGCAGTTAGGATAGACAGTACCGCTTTGCCTTCCGAACAGGCAGCGATAGAGACTAAAATTTGCAGTCTTGTATCTTCCTAGTTTATATGTCAATGACAATTTACTAGTTAAAGTAAACAATTCAATTGACATAGTTTATGTCAACAAAAATATTTTTGGAGAAAAGGAATGTTGATTTTATTTCATCCAATACGCCTCGCGCAATTCAATAATAGTGGCGTATTTTGTAGCCAATATGTTGAGTTGACAAGAAACGTCATTTTTGTTAATGTAAGTCTGATTTGTAAGTTGAATTACCTACTCATAAAAGCTATGGGTCCCGTTAGGAGCCCTTAGATTCCAACCGTGAGGTTCCTTTCACTTGTTTTATTTAAAAGCATGCAAAAAGCGTCAGGATGAAGAGTATTGTTGATTTAATCTCGTATCTGGGAAAACATTAAAAAACTAGAGTTGAAAATGACGGAGTAGATTAGGACCCTTAAAATTTCCTATCTGAAACCACTGCAGAATTTCTTCAACGCTTAACGTAACATCGTGCAGAATTTCTGCAGCACTTGACGGTAAATCGTGCAGAATTTCTGTACCACTTGACGTTACATCATGCAGAATTTCTGCACCACTTGACGTTACATCGTGCATAATTTCTGCACACTTGACGTTACATCGTGCAGAATTTCTGCAGCACGTGACGTTACACCGTGCAGAATTTCTGCAGCACTTGACGTTACACCGTGCAGAATTTCTGCAGCACTTGACGTTACACCGTGCAGAATTTCTGCAGCACTTGACGGTACACCGTGTAGAATTTCTGCATCACTTGACGTTACACCGTGCAGAATTTCTGCAGCACTTGACGGTACATCGTGCAGAATTTCTGCAGCACTTGACGTTACACCGTGCAGAATTTCTGCAGCACTTGACGGTACACCGTGCAGAATTTCTGCAGCACTTGACGTTACACCGTGCAGAAGTTCTGCAGCATTTGACGTTACATCGTGCAGAATGTCTGCAGCACTTGACGTTACATCGTGCATAATTTCTGCACACTTGACGTTACATCGTGCAGAATTTCTGCAGCACGTGACGTTACATCGTGCAGAATTTCTGCAGCACTTGACGTTACACCGTGCAGAATTTCTGCATCACTTGACGTTACACCGTGCAGAATTTCTACAGCACTTGACAGTACACCGTGTAGAATTTCTGCATCACTTGACGTTACACCGTGCAGAATTTCTGCAGCACTTGACGTTACACCGTGCAGAATTTCTGCAGCACTTGACGTTACACCGTGCAGAATTTCTGCATCACTTGACGTTACATCGTGCAGAATTTCTGCCGCACTTGACGTTACATCGTGCAGAATTTCTGCAGCACTTGACGTTACATCGTGCAGAATTTCTTCAGCACTTGACGTTACATCGTGCAGAATTTCTGCAGCACTTGACGTTACATCGTGCAGAATTTCTGCAGCACTTGACGTTACATCGTGCAGAATTTCTGCAGCACTTGACGTTACATCGTGCAGAATTTCTTCAGTGCTTGACGTTACATCGCGCAGAATTCCTGCAGCACTTGACGTTATCCGATGCAGAATTTTAAATAAACCGGGTTATCAGATTTTTTAAATATTGTGTTCAAATCATAGACTTTATTGTTCATATATTAAACGTTCAGAGAATTTTGGGCACTTTCACCATGTTTAACAAACCATGCAGTGGAAAATGGAATATTTTTATGGGTAAAATGCCTTGACATTTAACTGTCCTTTGAATTAAACAAAGTTTTGCCCTTTTGAAACGACTCTTCCTTTCTCCGTGAAAATCGAAGTATTTCTGGTGCTATCATTTATGAGAAATTTCCGTGCTTTCTTCCTGGATAGTGCCACTTTGAGGTCACCCTTCCTCTAGGTCTATAAAAAAAAAGGTGTTATTCGACGTATTTTTGCGGAATTGACACTTAATTTACTCATAAATGAGCCATTTTTGTCGGAAAACCCTATTTTGGAAAACGCAAAATAATTTGGAGAGCGTTAAACGTAACAGAGTGACAATTCGTACAAAATAATTTTTTGTAGCTCTCCGAATGACGAAGTTAATTTAACTGTATGTGCCACGAACTTTTTTAATTCTATGGGGTATCTTTGCAAGAGCAGCTTATTCTGTCATAAGACAATTCTAGCGACTCCTAGCTAATTGTGATTTAGTTTGGTTGTCTAGTTCTGGTGAACATGGGCTGAGCTTTTTTACTCACTGACACGCAGTCAGGATGGACTACATACGGCGCGTAACTCAACATCGTCAGATATTTAAGGTAATTTCATTATTAAAAAAAATTGCGGTTCAAATTCAACTTCATCTATAATATGGATCAAATTCAACGTTAAACCCATCTTGTGACTCTATATTCACCTCTTACCAAACGATTTAGTTCTTCCTAAGATATTGCAACTAAAATTTTAGGTGTAAGTGTTCTAAAAGATGGCGTTTTGTATCCACGTTTGATTGAGAAAAATAATTTTCACGGCTTGTGTTTGTTCCTTTCGAGTGGAGTCTCCAAAGCTATTACGTTTGGCGCATGTATAGTAATGTTAGGTCTAGTATGAATTCTAGTTTTCTGGTGATTAACAAAGGTAGATTGATACTAATCAGACAAATATCATTGAAAATTAATGGATTAAAGCTAATATCCTCAGTAATTGGCAAGTTAACGCTCAAGTCATCTTCAATTTTAGACACGTGCACGTCATCTTTACGACTCTGACATTATTATTAAATCCTGTCTTCATATCATCAACCGAAAACCATCTATTAACTGGACTTTGAAGATTAACTTCCATAAGTAACAAAAATGTATTTTATAGCATGAGGCCATAAACAGGCCAGCCACTTCATATGTTCTCTATTCTGTTTTGTTGATCCAATTTTGGAGAATAGAGTGGCACCATGCGATTTGTTACCATGTCACTCAGTGCTGTTGATTGGGCATATCCCACGGTGAATATCCCTGCATTAAAGGTAAAGTATTTTTAAGTGAACATCAAGGACCATAAAAACTTTTTCTCTTGTGACAATTTTCTTTACACCAAAGAACAAAAGTTTGAAGAGTGTGAGCTAGAGGTTTTTTTCGTTTTTGTTTAATTTCATTTCTTATTATGTTTTATTACTTTTTTTGATATGTGTTTTGGACAATTGACAAGTGGATAGTTAAAAAAGAATAGGACACAAGTGAACCTCTTCCAATAACCCTGCAATTTGCTATAATTACAAGATTAGGAGTCTCAAATAGCAATTAAAATAGTGAACCAAAATCACATCACACAAATGTCGTGCAATGTAAGGAAACTCTCTGATACAAATGGTTACAGTGTTGCAAAAAGAAGGGTATAGAGAAATTTGAATATGGAGGGAGGTATGCAAATCTTGAATAATTTAAAAATGCTTACACTTGTATATGTGAGCAGAATGGTAAAAAGCTCAATCAAAGTTTGAAAGCTATTGTTTATTCAAAGAACGTTATATTGTCTTATGAGTGGGAATGGGTTGTTGTCATTCTCAACATTTTACATGTAGGTCAGACATATTTTGCATTTGACTCCATCCAAAGATTTGTTTGTTTTTGTCTGAGTTGTTAAGATCAGATAGCATTTTGGCCTAAATTTTATTGAAAATTGTCAAAACATACTTATATGCAGCTACCTTATTACTGTATATGAGACAGGTGATCTATGCATAGGTGCACTTTATTTTCTATTAGCAGGATCTTTAAAAAGTCTTGAGTCCACTCCCATGCTGAGATTTAAAGAGATGTAGAAGTACCTATAATAACTACCATAATTGTTTACTCAGTAAATCACTGCACTGAAGTATAAGCAGATTTGGGAGCATGAATAATTTAAATTTTAATCTTATTTTGTTATTCACTACGATGAATAATCACAATCTTTTTTACGAAATTAACCGGATATATTGGCGCACAACCCTAAGGTTGATTCGTCGACATGAGCGTTGCTCGAGCAAGCTTGCACGCTACACCAACCATCTCACCTTCCTAACAAGGTGCATCAAGAATCGCGTTGTTCGTAAAGATCTACGAGTTCGACCGCCAGTCCCCACCAAAGGCGCACACAGAATCGCTGCGCTCTCATCCATGAGATTCCTAAGGGAACGGATCAGACTGACACAGAAAGCCAAGGGAGATGCAAAGAAGGATACAGAATCTACAGCACAGAGCATAACATCCGCTCCCTCGACAAACGACGCCAACAGGATACTAGAACAGATTAAGACCAACATACAAAGAGTCTTCAACACCACCAAAGACAGACATAAGCAGAAGTTTAAAAAACTTATTCAAGAAAAACAGGCGGCTGTGTCATCGATTGATACACCGTATGTTGACAAAACTAATTGGGTTGTTTATTTATCTTGTAGGTCCCTTAGCTATTCCGAGAAAGCCCTACCAAAGAAAGGACTGAACTTCGCCGTAACTCCTGCGAATATTCCTGCCACAGAGATCATCGCCAAGGTGGAAGCAGCCGCAAGACAACTCGACACCGAACAAGCAGATACTGTCAGAAGAGCTCTCAACGATATCCTTCAACAAGCAGAACCACCAGAGCCTAACATCACGAAGGAGATGCGAGATGCACTTAAAAGCCTAAAAGAAGACAATTCCATCATGGTTCTCCCAGTAGACAAAGGGCGCGCTAGCGTAGTCATGGATACCGACACCTACCGAGCTAAGATATCTACGCTTATTGAGAACGGACCGTATCAGCTCCTCAACAAAGATCCGACAGACTGTCAGAAAAGCTGCTTACCTTGAAGCGAAGTGGATATCTATCAGAGGCCGTTTACAACAAGATCAGCCTAAAATCTACGGTTTACCGAAGATTAATAAGGCCGATGTACCGCTAAGACCTAGTGTGTCGTGCGTAAACACCTTTGCATATGATCCGCTTATGCCACTATTGACCGTATGCATAAAAGACGGAGTATTTACTGTAGTTGATCTTCTTTTGTATTTAGCCAGGCGCCTCAATAAAAGGAGGTAACTTGAAAGTAAGATTATATGAAAATGGTTTTCTAAGGCTCCCTTTTGAAATCAAGAGTGATACCTCCAAGGGTCATCCTTTATGGCTAGGGGGAGGATACATTTAAATTTACCGAATCCCCCGAAAGGCACTGTAATATTCTTATTAACCCTCGCCTCCCCCCTGTTAATTAGTAGTCAGTTTTTTTTTCTTCCCTTCTTTATGCTCTGTTGGCGGTGACTGATCCACCCTCTGTTCCCCCTGAAAACTATGTGACCCCGTGGTTCGTAAGTGATTCTTATCAGGTATCAACCGTATCATCTGGGTTAGATTTAAGATAAGCCAAACAAAACTAGCATACTCTACGTACACGTATTCAAATCATGCGCTAAGTAAAGTAGAAATGATCAAAAGTGTATTTTATGTTAAATTTTCAACTATTATCGTAATCGTATGTACAGTTGTCCCTCCCCCTTCGAAAAAAGAATCATCCACTGCGTATATGTCATGTTTATTAACATATTTACAAACATATTTAGAAAAGGATCATCTTGAGTTCAATATTTTGCGTTGAAGCATAGTTTATTAAATGATTACAAATGTTTTCAAACGATAAAATTTTTAAAACAAATTTAATCCAGCAGACAGCCTTTCTTTAGCTTCAATCAGATAAAGAGAGAATTGAGCTTGATTGCATAAGAAATCTGTAGAATATAAAGAGAACCGGTGTCAACGCACAATCTCAGGGTAGAGTGAAGCTACAAAGGTGGAGTAAAAGGCTTATGCATTTGTTACAATAAGAAAATTTTGACAGCTTTCCTCATAGCCTGAAGAGCAGGCGTAATTTTGGCAAGTGCTCAGTATTTCTTTAGCGAAAATTATGGCCGCCACTTTTGATTTTAATGGCAGCAGAAGGCTGGGAGAGAGAGAGAAACTTGTACCAAGGGGGTGTGCGACGATCAAAATTAAGGAGGGGTTGGGGGCCTTTCCCCGCCCCCTTCCTTTACCGCCGCCTCTAACTTCCAAATCAAACATTGTCGGATAATAGACAATAGCAAGATTCTTAACGTTAATTCGCCCTATTAAGACGCTTGCACCGCAGGCTACTTTTCTCAGAAAATGCATTACTTACTTTATTACCTTTTAATAGTATGATCCAAACCATTTGTCGAAAGTTTTGCTCAAGAATCCTTGTCCTGAAATATAATGCACAATCGAGACATGGGGAATAATCGCCTGCTTACCAGAAAGGAGAGAGAATTAGATTAAATAAATTTAGGTTGAAAAAAGGCCACATGCACCCTCGCCGAATGAGAAAGTCTAGCCCTTGCCACACCCCTTACTATCCTGCCAATAAGCTCCCTTTTTGAATAAATCAACCCCTGTTTATATTGACTGAGAGAAATCCTTTTGGTAGCTGTGGAAACCGCTGGCTTATAACTAGGCACTTCGGTATGTATTTGGTTTGAGCAACTTACCAGTTTGGTGAGCAGATTGGCTATTAAAGTGACAAGTCTGAGGGTAAACGGGAACGGCCTGAGATCCACTCGGAACGATCATCATTTCAACTTCAGCAAAGTTTAGGGTAGGGGTATGCGGAGGTCTTGTAACGCCTGTAGCTCTCTTGGAAAAGGGATTCACCTTGTTATCTGTGATAATGTTGGATGGAACACCATTCGGATGGACTGGTGGAGTGTTATTCACATTTTCAGCTCCTCCGATGTCGGCGGCAGAACAGTTAAGTGTTGGTCGCTCTTGTGCCTCAGCTTTCGTGGAGAAAGAATCAATCTGTTCGCCTGAGTACTGAGTGGTAATATTAAATATTGTATTCTTGAACCCAGCATCGTTTGAGGAAATTGTCGCACTGTTTGTGACAGTTTGAGCTGGAAACAATCTGGCTGTAAGGATGTCCGATTGTTTTGTAACCCCGATAGCTCTCTTGGAAAAGGGATTTACCTTGTTACCATAAGAATCAGTGATATTGTTGGATGGAACCCCACTGAGTTCAGGTGATGGAGTGTAATTCTCAGCTTCAGTTCCCACGATGTTAGCGGCTGGGCAATTAAGCGTTGGTGGATACAACGCCTCGGCTTTATTGGAAAATGGTTTAATCCGTGCGTCAGAGGAATGAATGGTAATATTAGATACAAGATCCTGGTGTTGGATTGGCAGGGTACACTTGTCGACTTCAGCTGTCTCAAACATATTCACAGGGCTTTGTGCTTGTCGGTCCAAGCGTTTTGCCTTCCTAGAAAACGGGTTGACCCTTTGACCAAAGGAACCGTTGATCTCATTGAATTCATCTCCTCTTTGGGATGGTGGAGCGTTTTTCTTTATTTCGGGGGCGAGTGGTGGTTGACATTTCAACTCGGGACAAGCTATGGTTAAAAGAAAAAAATGAAAGAGCAAGCTTTATTTGGGTCATTTTCAGACTGGCAATATGAACTCGGACCACACCATATGTTTTCCCATGTATTCAGTGGCAACAAGAGATTATAGTCTCTTGCTAGCAATAGAGTAGTGATGGCTTATTCTTCCTAAAATCTTATTTCGTTATACTTTAACTATGAGATCAGTGAGTTCCTCTTTGAATTTGATGAAGGGAGTACTCGGCCGAGTTCCTACAGCGATTTGGTACCTTGATAATTCGAAGTGCTTACTTGTTTTTGGTTACACGTCATACCACCCAACTTCAGCACAATAAATGATGGGCTGTTGAATTCGCGAAATTGTGTTATACAAGTTTCCTTCTTCATACCTTGGGCTGCTTCAGTGGAGGGTTTTGAATTTGATTTAACATTCTTCATAGCCTCAAGCTCTCTTGCTGTTACTGGAAAGTTTTGAATTTCGAGACATCCACCGTTGTTAGATAGAGTGTCAAACCATGATGGTTGAGGATCAAAGTAAGCTTTACCTAATAGAGAGAAAGTTTTGAATGAATGCGTTGTCAATGGGTCTTAAGTTTTGGGGTTAAGTGCGTCTTTTTGTCTTGAGGATGGGAAATGACATTTTTGTGACTTTACTGACTCAAATGTGGTACACACTTTTTTTCAGGTCCGTGAATGGTGACATCTAAGATCGGCCCAGATCCTACCGTTTGACTGTAACTTGAATGTAGGCTTGGCCGCGAAAGGTCTGGGTACGAGACTAGGTGACTTCGCCAATGGCATGGGCCGCAATTTTTAGCTATAGGTGTATTATTTCCTCTAGGTGTTTTTTCTTTATATCTTCTCTGAATTGTGAAACGATTGATTTGTACAGTGATCGATAATGCAGACCCTCGTCCTCTTTCCATCAGTGTTTCCCTGCGACGCTTGGAGACTAAATATGGCCACGGAAATGCCATTTCAAGCAACATACTCACCATTAAAAAATTGTAGTCCGCTTTGGGATTCTTCTAACTTTGTTGTATTCCTCATGACACTTAAATTTGCTCCACCCTTGAGCTCATCGATAGTCTTCCTTGCCTCATGAAACTTTTCCTCCGTTGCCGCTGTTCGCTTGGCAAAATCCAACTGATTTCTTTGCCAGCTTTGTTGTAGCTGGGACAGTTTTTCTTTGAGATCAGAAATCTCTTTATCTTTCGCAAAGAAAGCTTCCCTAAGAAAGGTGATCTCCTTCTCTTTAGCTGTTAAAATACAAGAAATAAAAGTGCATATTATAAATACTTGTAGTAAAATACAGATTAAAAGCAAGTTTTGAATGATGAGGCAAATCAGGAGAACATAACAAAAACGGAACTGTTTCGGACGGAATGAGAAACAGGGGTTTGGGGGAATATTTATTGTCCCCTACGGTTTTCTGCGGCACCCCTTAGTTAAATGGGTTATAAATGGTTTCCCTGTCCGCGTGCACTTCTCTTATCCCACATGAGTCGTTACTTCAAACTAACCGTTAAGTTCTGTTTCAAGGTGGATGATCTTCCTCGTTAGTTGTTCCTTTTCTCTCGCAGACTGGAAGATAATATGTTAAAAATAGCCTTTTTAATTAAAGAAATTAGAAGTTAACAAGAAAACAGAGAAATCTAAACATAATCAACGTATAGCGGAATGATATTGGAATGTCGAAGAGTGGCGTCATAATCTGAGAACTTTAGCTGCGCGCAGTTTTTAATCTCTTTATAATGCAATGTTTTTAAAGTCAGTTGCCTGATCACCTTTAATGTAAAAAAAATTGCAATTTCTTGAAATGTTTATCTACAACGTTGAACGGGCTTAAAAGTGAGCTTATTTTGAAGCGAACAAATTACAATTTAAATTGAACCAATTACAATCTATCTTTATTTCTTAGGTATTGAATGAGGCGTTCGCAAAATAGTCACAGAGATTTTTTTCTTCATGGTCCTTCCAATAACAAATTGTAAATTCTGAATTCGTCTCCAAAATGGGCAGACTTTCATCTAAGTTTAATTGGAAGGGAACTGACTTTTTATTCAAACTGAACCCACCACGACGCTTTTCTCAGCTTACATATAATATGAGTTCTTCTAACGCGTCCGCGAGAAAATCTGAAGTTTTTTCTTCATGCTTTTTCCGATAACAAATTCTTACTTAGTTTTGCTAAATGTATGACTTTAACGAAAACGAAAAGAGACCTCAGGCACGTGAAACGCCCACCTCATCCGCCATGATCCGTGCTCCGCGTAAGGCCTCCAAAGGCTCATGATAATTCTCAGTGGAACGATTACTGACATTGGCTTCTTCATCAAATTTTCTCGCAGAACAGGATTCCTTCACAGACTTTATGTCCTCTGCAATGTTTTTGTTCATTTTGGAATTGATTTCTCTTGAAAAACACAAAAATAGATTCTCTTTCACTTTGCTTGAATAAGAACCGAGTTCTTCACGTAAAAACAACGTTTCGATTTGCTTGTGACAAGTTGCATAGCAACGTGTTTGTGCCGTCACTTATTGACAACACGCCAGAGTTAAAGCGTTAAGCCTGGGCGCTAGAATTTTGTCGAAGCGTCAAAAACCATATTTAGAAACTAAAACGGTTTTACAGCGATAAAACGTAAATTAAAAAAAAGAGAGAGATTATTGTTTTCAGCTTATTATTTGCTTTCCGAGACTTTTAAGGGAGCTTATCTTAAATGCCGCTCATGGATTTTAACAATGATACATCGTTTCTTAATAACCTTTCATTGGTTCCCCTGGCCAAGATTGTAACTGATAACCTTTGTGGGGTGCGTGCATTTATTGAACGTGATGAACTCCATTTTGAAGCATCTTTGCTAAAATTTTTAGACGAGAAGAAGGATCTTCACGTTGTCTTGTAAATGACCGGACTGTCTTCCCCCATTCCCATTTCTCATGTTCTCCAGTCTCTCCTCTGTTCACCTGTTCCTCTGTTCCTTTGTTCGTCTGTTCTCCTGTTTTTACGTTTCTATGTTTCTCTGTTCGCCTGTGCTCCTTTATTTCACGTCTTTCATGTCCCGAGCAGTCTTCCCTTTCACGTTTTGTGTTTCCCATTTCCTGCTTTCCGTTGCCTCTTTCCTTAGTTATTTCTTTCCTCTTTTTCCTCATTTTTTTCCGCGAAACTATTCTTCCCTTCAATCCTGTTCCTCCGTCCTTCTAATTTCTATTCACCCACACAAAAGCGATGGGAAACAAATACCAACCAGCAAACATAATAAGAGTGATAACTCGTACAGATTATTTTTTCCTAGCTTTCCGAATGACGAAGTTAATTTAACTTTATGTGCCACGCACTTTTTTAATTCTATGGGGTGGTAAGGTGAGGTGCAATGTTTTACCCGCGCATCTTTGCGAGAGTAGCTTACTCTGTCATCTTTCACTCAGATTTGTTTCTTTGTTTACCAAAAATTCTACTGAGTACTAGATAGTTGTATTTGAGTTTAGTTGTATAGTCGTAGTTAACATGGGCTGAGCTGTTCTCCTCACTTACACGTAGTCAGGATGGCCTGCATACGGCGTGTAACTCAACATCGTCAAATATTGAAGGTAATTTGATTGTAGAAAAATTTGCAGTTTAAACTCAACCTCATTTACAATGTGAATAAAATTTAACGTTAAACCCATTCTGTGACTTTATATTCACCTTCTACCATACGATTTAGGTTGTTCTAAGAAATCTCAACTCGATCTTTAGGTGAAAGTGTTCTAAAAGAAGGCGTTTTTATCCACGTTTGATTGAGGAAAATAATTTTCACAGCTTCAAGGGTATTGTGTTTAGCGCATGTATTGTGATGTTCGGTCTAGTATGAATTCTAGTTTTCTGGTGATTAACAAAGGTAGATTGCTACAAATCGTACAACTATCATGTAACGTAGATGAATTAAAGCTAATATCCTCAACATCCTTAATTTTACACACGTGCACGTCATCTGTACGACTCTGACATTATTGTTGAATCCAGTCTTCATATCAACAACTGAAAAACCATCTTTTAGCTGGACCTTGAAGATTAACTTCCATTCTTCTTCATCCTTCTTCAAGTGGCAAACAGAATTTAAAGTTTATCACCCAAGAACATTTTGTACAGCAGCAAGGTAATTATTGATATAGGCTAAACATATTTGGTACATGGTGCAAATTTTATTTGAGGGTAATTACTCCTGCTATTATCCCTGACTGGGCCCAGGGGCAATATGAAGTGAATCCTACATTCTGATTGGCTACGTGAGCGGGCTAGATGGGCCTTTTGTTCTATTTTCCTATTTTTACAGACCCCAACTTCAACCCATGCCAAAAAAAGCAGAAAAAGGATATGGCCAATATCCAGCCATTGTGACCTCATGCTTGATCAATAATGTATATTTATTTTAAAGGAGTGAAAACCCGTTGTTGTTTATATTTACTAACAATTGTTTTATTTGAGGTATACCATATGTCACTGTCACCATAGAAACATTCCCTTTTTTTTGATAGACAAAATGTGTTTATTTAATGGCTCTGGTAACAGTTTTTTTTGTCTAGTTTGTATTTCTTGGGTTTCAATTTTCAGTTGCCGTTTTGGAGGAAGGTCTATTTTACTATATTTAAGTCACAAGATATCAATACCATGGCTGTATTATTATAAGAGGTTCCTTCTATCTTCTGAAATGAATGGATACTGACAATTCATGAAATCCCAGAATTTCCAGTTTCAAAAACGATATAAAATTTGTGTAAAGAGTGAACTTACTTCTTTTATAAAATAAATATAAAATGTGTTTATTATGGCTCTGGTAACAGTTTTTTTGTCTAGTCTGTATTTTGTTGGTTTCAATTTTCAGATGCAATATTAGAGGAAGGTCTATTTAACAATATATATTTAAGTCTCTAGACATCAATACCATGGTTGTATAAGTGTAAGAGATGTCTTCTATCTCCTGAGATGAATGGATACTGACAATTATGAAATCCCAGAATTTCCAGTTTCAAAAATACAAAAGCAACAAAAATATGTTTTATCCATGCCAGGTTGACTACAGCCTTCTTCAAATGGCAAACAGGATTTAAAGTTTATTACCCAAGGACATTGTGTACAGCTGCAAGGTAAATGTTGATGTAGGCCAAATATATTCTGTGCATATTGCAAATTTTATTTGAGGGTAATTACTCTTGTTATTATATCTCTGACTGTGCCTGGGAGCAACATGAAGCAAATCCTACATTCTGATCGGCTAACCAAGTGGCTGTTGGGCCTTTTGTTCTTTGTTTCTGTTTTTATGGACCTCAACTTTGTCCTGGGCCAAAAAATGCAAAAAAGAATATGATCAATATCCAGCCATCATGACCTCACACCACATTTATTTATTGAAGGAAAGAAAGTGCAATGTAGTTTATTTTTTTTAACAATGTTTCACTTGAGGTGTAGCATATGTCAATGTCACCATAGAAAAATTCCCTTTTTTCAATAGGCAAAATGTGTTACCATTTAATGATGGGCAGCAACTGGCATTCTCAGTTATGAAATATTTTCAGGTGATACTTTACTGAGTATAGCAGTATTTATTGGGCTAAGGTGTAAAGTTGTGTGAAAAGAAAATTTACCTAACATTTTCAGAGGTGAAATGTATGTTTGTAAGGTGGCCTGAGATTATAAGTTGGTTAAAAAGGGCTAAGTTAGCTTATAAGTCAGAATGCTGATGCTGCCTTAGCACTTTGTCAGAGCCTTCCTTGACATTTTTCTATACCAATTTTATTCATTCTGGAGGTACTGTGAGAGTAGAGAGGACCTTGAGTCCAGGGTACCTGACCACCAGACCACTGTTTCCCCCAATGTTTTCTTAATGCAAGTAAGGATCATGTTTTATTTTACATATTAAGGATCTGTTACAAGGATTCATTAGAGGCAATATAAGTGAAAGGGTTATCTGGTAGAAAGGCTTTAGGAAATGTTAAGCTGTCTTGAGTTGTTGCATTTTTGTTAACAAATGAAAATAATTAATGTATTAATACCCATCTATAAGCTGAGCTTGGCTTTAAGCCAAGATCCTAAACTTGAGAGACCTGACAATGGGTTCTACAGCTTGTTCCTCTCAGAAAACATGTGTTGGTTATTGAATGAGTAAACACAATCACAAGATACATTCAAAAGTTTATTGAAACAATCAGTAAATAAACAAGAATGTGAATATTCATGTATCCTACTGGCCCTGTTTGTTTGAAAGTCAGATATCACTATCCAATTGATAAAACTCTATATGTTTTACTATGACTTATCCACTGGATAGCAATTTATCCATTGGATAGCATTATCCACCTTTTTTACAACTGGGCCCTGAATATAAATACAGTTAAACACAACATGGATTCCACAAGTCAGAATCAGTTATTGTTTTTGATAGCAGCTGTTTTAATTCCTACTATTGCGATGTACTTCTAACAATAATTATGAATAATTTAAATCTAAAGGACTCAGAGATTCTTAAGAGTATGGGATATGGGAATCAATGTTATGATCTGTGGTGAAGATTAAAAGTTCCAGAAAGTTTGTATGTCTTTATCAATAGCAGTCCCGTATTAGTGTAAGAGCAATTACAAACAAATATAACAAGATGATTGGGTGGTCAAATTTTATGCCTCACAAAATTACAATTAGTAAAGAGCAAATTTCTAATTTTGGCATATAGTATTGCATGTCGCTTTCATGAGTTAACCCCATCAACTCCCATGAGTGTCCAAGACAGAATTTCTCCTTACAATATCAATGCAATATGAGGCAGACTAGTAATAAGAATAAGAACAATTAAAGATCAATTAAGGGTTATTAGTTGATTCAATACCAAATTCTCCAAACTAACATCACAAGAACTATATGGCACACAGTAGGGAGAATTGTTATTGAGATCTTGGGAGTTAAAGGGTGAAGGGAGTAATAAAGCCTTCAATGGTGCAATCTTGGCTTTATGGTATGGTAGGCTGCTTTGGGCTGCAAAAAGAATTTAGCATGAGGCTGTATTCTGCTGTGTTGATTGAATTTTGGAGAACAGAATGGCACCCTGTGATTTTTTACCATGTCACTCAGCGCTGCTGATTGGGCATATCCCAGGGTGAATATCCCCACAGTCAAGATCAATTATTTTTAGGTGGATGTCAAGGACCATAAAAACATTTTCTCTTTTCACATAATCTTCTTTATACCCAAAAACATAGTTTGAAGAGTGTGAACAAAATATTTTTTAATTTCAATTTTATTTCTTACTATATTTTATTACTTTTTTACACATGGTTGGACAATTGACAAGAAGACAGTACAACAATGATAGGATGCAAATGAACCTTATAAATGACCCTGCAATTTGCTATAGGTCAATGAATAACATAGTATTCATGACAACTGTGCTCCTTATAGGTAATGAATTACAAAATTAGGAGTCTCTGATAGCAAACAAAATAATTAAAGAAAAATAATGTAAAACAAATGTCATACAATGTAAGGAAACTCTCTGATACATATGGTTATGATGTTGTGAAAGGAAGGGTATAGAGAATATTGAATAGGCAGGGTGGTATGCAAATCTTGAATAATTTTCAAAATGCTTATACTTATATATATGAGTAGAATGGTAAAAAGCTCTATAAAAGTTTGAAAGCTATTAGTTATTCAAACGAATATTATTGTCCAATGAGTGGGAGTAGGTATATATATTGTGTATATGACTCCATCCAAATTGTTATTTGTTTCTATCTGAGTTGTTAAGATCAGATAGCATTTTGGCCTAAATTTTGTTGAAATTTGCCAAAACATACTTATTTGCCGCTACCTTATTACAGTAAATCAGACAGGTGATCTACTTTCCACAAGACTGTCTAACTGAACAACTGACTGATTACCTGACTGTCTAACTGACTGAATGATTACTTGACTCTCTAACTGACTGACTACCTGACTAAAAGAGTCTTGAGTCCAGTCCCATGCTGGGATTAAAAGAGATGTAGGAGTAACTATAATAACCACTACAATTATTTACTCAATAAATCACTGCACTTAAAGAATCAGCAGATTTGGGAGCAAGAATATTTTAATTGAAATTAAAATTTTGTAAGTGCTGCCTGCAAAGAAGTGTGACAGCTATGTCAGTACTCTTCCAGGTACCACTTTGTGTGAAGCAGCCTTGAAACTTTTTCTGCCAAACCTTGAAACTATTTCCAGCCAAACAATATTTTTATTGTCAGGTGGTTACAATAAAAGGGGGCATTCACAATTATTATTTTGGAATGGTAGAGCAAGCCATTGCAAAGCACAAGCAGAACTGAAAGTGAATGGTGTTTTGAGTATGTCTCTGATTTATTGTGAATGTTTCAGTTTTTTAGAAATAGGAGCATTACTTTGTTAAAATAGATATCACTCTCAATAAGTGCTGTGCCTAACTGACCAGATCACTTACCTGCAGAATGATTGACTCTCTGGTTCAATTATTGAAATACTAGCTGACTGACCGATGAATAGATTGGCAGACAAAAAAGACTGGCTGAGTGCTTTACAGGTGGACTGAGTGACTTATTGGGCGACTGACTGACTGACTGGCTGGGCAACTGACTGACTGACTTACTGACCGCCTGTCTGCTTGACTGATTGACTAATCATCAGACTGTCTAACTGAACAACTGACTGATTACTTGACTGTCTAACTGACTGGCTGACTGACCACCTGACTAACTGACCAACTGACTGACCCACCTACTGACTGACCAACCGACTTGCATACTTTATAGGCAAAACTCAATTATTATTTGCCGAGTAAGGTTAAGAGTCTGCCTCCCGTTTTGATATTTAACAATTAACAAAAATACTTTTTGGATTGCTTTACATTTTTTGACTTTGTGTCTGGTTTAGAGTACTTCTGTCATTCTCTTAACCAATAAGATGAAATCTAAAACCAATTGTGGTTTTATCCATCGCCTTTTTCTGCACTTCAGTGAATTTTCTTGTCGCAATTTAGTTCTCATTGGCTCCTTGAAATATTTCTTCTTCCTTGTTGGCCTTTTTGTTTACGTTGGCAACGCTCGATTGTAATGAGTCCATATAATAACAGAATAATCCTCAGGTATACTAGGCCAAAGAAATTCTTATAGGATAACCAACGCACTAATACAGCTGCCACTATTGACCGTATACATAAAAGACGGAGTATTTACTGTAGTTGATCTTCTTTTGTATTTAGCCAGGCACCTCAATAAAAGGAGGTAGCTTGAAAGTAAGATTATATGAAAATGGTTTTCTAAGGCTACCTTTTGAAATCAAGAGTGATACCTCCAAGGGTCAGCATTTATCGCCAGGGGAGGGGGAATCGGTTTTTTTCTTGTGTCACACTATAATTTACCTAATTCCCTGTAAGGCTCTGTGATATTCTTATTAAACCCCCTTCCCCTCATTGGCAGTTAATTTTCTATCTTCCCACCTTTATACTCTGTTGGCAATGACTGATCAACACTCCATTCCCCCTGAAAACCATGTAACCTCCCCACCCACCCACTTCACACTCCCTCCCCCGTCGATGACAAATAGTGATTGGATCCTAAGTTATCTTTGACATTGTGCGGTGAGTGGAATGAAGAATTCAGTGACCAACTGAAGCTTTGTTTTATTATTATTCTCCTGTTTTACTCAAGGCTTCGTGAACACAGCTGACTCAGAAAACCGCTAAACAAGGGTGAAGAAAATGGCGCCTGATGTGTGGCAGGTGACTCTTGGAGTAGCGAATAAGTCCCTGAAAAAATTGCGTGGAAAAATTGGAGACGAAGCGAATCTAATGTAATTGATTAAACTTGTGCATAATTGTTTAGTTAGAATAAAATACTCGCTATTACAGAGGCAATGTTTTCAGCTCAATTTTCTTGAACCTCCCTCAGTTGTCTGTTGCCCCTCTATGTTTTTTCTCAATTCACCGTCTGTTTTGTCTGATGCCCCTTTGATCTTCTGCAGTCACTGTTTTTTGGCGAAGAAAAGCTAATGTTTTACAATGATTTAAAAAGTTCTTGGAGTAAAATGCATGAGGGGCTGTCACTGTCTCCAGTACAGTCCTTTACTCAGTGTGCTCGTTTGCTTGAGAAGCGGTCGGAAAAAAAGACCTCTTGTCCTTAGTTTCTCAAGCTGCTACACCCTCCATCCTGACATTCGTAACAAGATGTCCAAGATCACGTTATTCTGCATAGGGTTTGACGCAGAGTGTTCGTCAATTACAAACAAGAGATATATTTCATTTAACTACTACCATTGGGCAGCATGCGAGAGCAGTTATCAAAACCTCGTGACTTTGTTTCTCCTCGCCTAATCGACTGTGATTCGTAAGTGATTCTAATTAAGTGTCAAATGTATCATTAAGGTTTGGCTTAAAATAAGCCAAACAAACCGAACATACTCATACTCTCTATGCTAACGAATACAGATAAATAAAGTGGAAATGATCAAATGTGTATTTTATTTTAAATTTTCAACTATTATGTAATCGTATGTACAAATAACTGTCACAAATAATTTCGGCAAAATTGGTACAAATTCCCCCCTCCCCCCGGAAAAAATAGTAAGCAGCTGCGTTTATGTCATGCGCAAATGATTTTTAATATATTTACAAACATGCTTAGAAAAGGTTCATCTTGAGTTCAATTTCTCGCGTTCAGACATAGTTGATTAAATAATTACAACCGTTTTCAAACGATGAAATTTTTAAAACAAATTTAACCCAGCAGACATCCTTTCTTTAGCTTCAATCAGATCAAGAGAGAATTGAACTTGACTGCATTTAAAATCTGTAGAATATAAAGAGAACCAGTGTCAGTGAACAATCTCAAGGTAGAGGAAAGCACCAAAGGTAGAGTAAGAAGCTTATGCTATTGTTAAAATTTTGACGGCTTTTCTCATAGCCTGCAGAGTTGGTGTAAATTTGGCGAGTGCTAAGTACTTCCAAAGCGAAAATTATGGCTACTGCCTTTGATTTAATGGCAGCGGAAGGCTGGGGGAGAGAGAGAGAGATTTGTACCAAGGGGGTGTGCGACCGTCAAAATTAAAGAGAGGGGTGGGGGACCTTTCCTCACCCCTTCCTCTCATCGCCACCGCTATCTCCAAATCAAGCCTGGCCGATTGTCTAAACAATCGCGAGATTCTCAATGTTAACTCGCCCTATTAAGACGCCTGCATTGCAGGCTACTTTTCTCAGAAAATGCATTACTTACTCGTTACATTTTAATAGTATGATCCAAACCATTTGTTGAAAGTTCTGCTCAAGAATCCTTGTCCTGAAAAATAATGCACAATTGAGACTTGGCGAATAATCGCCTGCTTACCAGAAAGGAGAGAGAATTAGATAAACTGAATTTAGGTTGAAATAAGACCACATGCACCCTTGCCGAATGAGGGATTCCTGCCCTTACCACACCCCTTAGAATCCTGCTAATAAGCCCCCTTTTTGAATAAACCAACCCGCTGTTTATATTGGCTGAGACAAATCCTTTTGTTAGCTGTAGAAACCACTGGATTTTAACAGGGCACTTTCGGTATGTATATGGTTTGAGCAACTTACCGGTTTGTTGAGTAGATTGGCTATTAAAGTGATAAGTCTGAGGGTAAACGGAAACCTGAGATCCACTTGGAATGATGCTCATTGACGGTAATGGGCGATGCTGTAAAAAGGGACTCCCTAGACAATTGAAGACAGTTTAACAAACCTTAACTTACTACGAAGGTTTTCGCTGATAAATTTCTGTTCATTTAGATACCATTCACTAAAGGAGCGTCGTAAGTTAAGGGTCGAGTGCAAGTCGCTGTTCGAAAACGAGCCCGTGCTTCACAACTGAACTGATCTAACGAGAATGATCGACTAGACGAAGCCCAGATGCGAGAAAACAGTAAACGTGGAGCGTAGTTTTCCTTATAGTATTCTTAAGGTAGCTACTTTCTGCTAACTTACATCTGTGACCTTAACAGCAAATTGACTTAATGCATAAAAGAAATCTCTGAACTTTTCAGCTCTCCTGACGAAAATTGAATGTTTTCACGTTCAATTTGTCAGAATGAGTAAACCGTACCCTTGATCGCGAAAGTCCTCCTCTTGGCGGGGGAAGCTAGCTTGTTAGTGAAAGTATGATACATTTGTCATATTATGTTCAACTGATCATACCTTTGGCTTTCTCTGAAGACGGGTTGATCTCACTGGATGTGCCGGTGTTCTTGAATGCAGCATCATTTGAGATAATTGCCGGACTGTTTCTCAGAGTTTCAACTTCAGCAAAGTTGGGTGTAGGGGTATGTGGTGATGTTGTAATGCCTTTAGCTCTCTTGGAAAAGGGATTCACTTTGTTACCAGAGGAATCTGTGATATTGTTGGATGGAACACCTTTGAGATGGACTGGTGGAGTGTTATTCTCATTTTTAGCTCCTCTTATATTAGTGGCAGGACAATCAAGTATTGGTCGCTCTTGAGTCTTAGCTTTCATGGACCACGGGTTAATCTGTTCGCCTGAGCACTGAGTGGTAATATTGAATACTGTATTCCCGAACACAGCATCGTTTGAGGAAATTATCGCACTGTTTCTGACAGTTTGAGCTGGAAACAAAGTGGCCGCAGGGATGTGTGATGTTTTTGTGACGCCGATAGCTCTCCTGGAAAAGGGATTCACCTTGTTACCATAAGAATCAGTGATATTGTTGGATGGAACCCCACTGAGTTGGACGGGTGGAGTGTTATTCTCAACTTTAGTTCTGGCGATGTCAGCGGCTGGGCAATTGAGTGTTGGTCGATCCAGCACCTCGGCTTCGTTGGAAAATGGTTTAATCCGTGCGCCAGAGGACCGAATGGTGATGTTAGATCCAAGATGTCTCGGTTGGATTGGCGGGGTACACTTGTCGACTTCAGTTCTCTCGAAATTATTCAGAGGACTTTTTACTGGTCGATCCAAACGTTTTGCCTTCCTAGAGAGTGGGTTGACCCTCTGACCGAAGGAAACGTTTATCTGGTTGAATTCATCTCCTCTTTGGGGTGGTGAAGCATTTTTCTTTATTTCAGCTCTGAAAAAACTGCCATCGGGGGCGAGTGGTGGTTGACATTTCAATTCAGGACAGTCTTTAGTGAAAAAAAGAAGTGCAAGAGTAAGTTTTAGTTGGGTCATTTTTCAGACTAGCAAAGCGAAATATGAACTTGGACCACCCCATATTTTTTCCTATGTATTCGGTGGCAATAAGAGACTCTAGTCTCTTGTTAGGAGTTGAGTACTGCTGGCGTATTCTTCCTAAAGTCTCATTTTATATTTTAATTATGAGATCAGTGAGTTCGTTTCTGAATTTGATGAAGCGAGTACTCGGCCAAGTTCCCACAGCGGTTCGGTACCTCGATAATTCGAACTGCTTACTTGTTTTTGGTTGCACGTCATAGAGGGTCGTCAAAGCACCCAACTTCAGCACAATAAAAGATGGGCTGTTGAAGTCGCGAAATTGTGTTATACAAGTTTCCTTCTTCATACCTTGGGCTGCTTCAGTGGAGGGCTTTGAATTTGATTTGAAATTCTTCATGGCCTCCAGATCTCTTGCTGTTACTGGAAAGTTTTCAATTTCGAGACATCCGCCGGTGTTAGATAGAGTGTGAAACCATGATGGTTGAAGGTCAAAGTAAGCTTTACCTGATTGAGAGAAAATTTTGAATAAATGTTCATGGAAGAATGTGTTATTAACGATTCTCAAGTTTTGAGGCTCTTCTTGTCCTGAGGAAGGGATATGAAATTTTTGTGACTTTACTCAAATATGGCACATACTTTTCAGGACTTCTAATCTCGTCCCAGATCCTACCGTTTAATTTTAACTTTAATGAAAGGTCTCAGTACGTGACTAGGTGACTTCGCCAATGGCAAGAGCCGCGATTTTTACCTATAGGTGTATTATTTGTTCTAAGTTTTTTAAAAATTTTTTCTGAATTGTGAAACGATTGTTTCGTACAGTGATCGACAATGCAGACCCCTCGTCCTCTTCCCATCAGTGTTTCCCTGCGATGCTTGGAGACTAACTTTGGGCATAGAAATGCCATTTCAAGTAACATACTCACCATTAAATAATTGTAGCCCGCTTCGGGATTCCTCTAACTTTGTTGTATTCCTCATGACACTAAAATTTGCTCCACCCTTGAGCTCGTCGATATTTTTCCTTGCCTCCTGTAGCTTTTCATCCATTGCCGTCATTTGCTTGGCAAAATCATACTGACTTCTCTGCCAGCTTTGTTGTAGTTGGGAAAATTTTTCTTTAAAATCAGAATTCTCTTTATGTTTGCCAAAGAGAGCTTCTTTAAGAAAGGTGATCTCCTTCTCTTTAGCTGTTAAAGTACAAGAAATAAAAGTGCATATTTTAAATACTTGGAGTAAAAGATAGATCAAATTGAAGTTTTGAATAATAAGGCAAATCGGGAGAACATAATAAAAACGGAACTCTTTTGGACGGAATGGGAAGCAGGGGTTTGGGGGAATGATTGTCAAGAACCTACGGTTTTTCCTCAGCACCCCTCAGTTCAATGGGTTTTAAATGGTTTCCCTGTCAGCGTCAGTGCACTTCTCTTATCCCACATGCATCATTGCTTCAAACTAACCTTTAATTTCTGTTTCAAAGTGGATGATCTTCCTCGTTATTTGTTCCTTTTCTCTCGCAAACTGGGAGAAAATATGTTAAAAATAGCGTTTTTGAATTAAAGAAATTAGAAGTGACCAGGAAAATTGACAACACTAAACATAATCAACGAACAGCGGAATGATACTGGCATGTCGAAGAGTAGCGTCATAATCTGAGAACTTTAACTGCGCGCGCTTTTCAATCTCTTCATGAAGAAATGTTTTCAAAGTCAGTTACCTGACCACCTTCAATGCAAAAAAAAATTGCAATTTCTTTAAATGTTTGCCTTCAATGTTGAACGGGCTAATAACTGATGTTATTTTGGAGGGAACCAACTGTTCTGCATTTGAAGGAACCGATTTTCATTCAAACTGAGCGCACTACGGCCTTTTACACACTTACATATTGAATGAGGTCTACTAACGCGTCCGCGAAAAAAAATCTTAACTTTTTCCTTCATGCTCGTCCCGATCACAAATTCTAACTTAGTTGTGGTAAATGTATGATTTTTACGAAAACGAAGAGAGGCCTAAAGTTCGGGAAACGCCCACCTCATTAGCCATGATCCGCGCTCCGTGTGAGGCCTCCAAAGGCTCATGAAAACTCTCGGTGGAACGATTAGTGACATTGGCTTCTTCATCATATTTTCTCGCAAAACAGGACTCCTTCACGGACTCTATGTCCTCTGCGACGTTTTTGTTCATTTTGGAATTGATGTCTTTAGAAAAACACAAAAATATATATTCTCTTTCGGTTTGCCTCAGTGAGAACTGAGCTCTTGATGCAAAATCAAAGTTTCGACTCGCTCATGACAAGTTGCATAGCAACGTATTTGTGCCGTCACTCCCTGACATCACGGCAGAGTTGAAGCATGAAACCTGGGCACTAGAATTTTTTCGAAGCGTCAAAAACCAGAGTTAGGAATTAGAACGCTTTAACAGTAAGAAATCGGAAATTAAATAAGGTACAGTTTATTATTTGCTTTCTGCGATGTTTAAGAGGGGTTACCTTAAATACGTGTCATAGATTCTAAAAATCATACATCGGTTCTAATAACCTTTCAATGTTTCCCTTGGCCAAGATTGTAACTGATAACCTTTGTGGGGTGCGTGCATTTATTGACCGTGATTAACTTCATTTTTAAGTATCTTTACCAAAATGTTTAGACGAGAAGAAGAATTATCAAGTTCTCATGTAAATGACTGGGCTGTCTTCTTTCGACTTGTATTTTAGGTCCACAATTTTCCCATTCTTATTTCTCATGTCCTCCCGTCCCTCCTCTGTTCTCCTGTTCCTTTGTTCGTCTGTTGCCCTGTTTTTACGTTTCTCTGTTCCTCCTCTGTTTCTCGTCTTCCATGTTCCAAGCAGTCTTCCCTTTCACGTTTTCTGTTTCCCACTTCCCACTTTCCGTTGTCTCGTTCCCTTGTTATTCCTTTCCTCTTTTTCCTCAATTTTTTTCCGCGACACTATTCTTCCCTTCAATCTTCTAATTTTGATTCGACCTTACAAAAGCGATGGGAAACAAATGCCAACCAGCAAACGTATCTGAGTGATCACTCGTACAAAATATTCTTTTTATGGGGTGGTAGGTTAGGTGCACTGTTTTACCCTCAGATCTTTGCGGGAGTAGCTTGTTCTGTCGTCTTTCACTTAGATTTGTTTGTTTGTCTAAATACAATTCTAGCGATTCCTAGCTAGCTGTGATTTAGTCTGTTTGTATAGTCGTGGAGAACATGGGCTGAGCTGTTTTACTCACTTACACGTTGTCAGGATGGCCTACAAACGGTGCGTACCTCAACATCGTCAAATACTGAAGGTAATTTAATTGAAAAAATTTGCGGTTCAAACTCATCCTCATCTACAATGTGAATCAAATTTAACGTTAAACCCATTATGTGACTCTATATTCACCTTTTACCAAACGATTTAGCTTGTCCTAAGGTATTACAACTCGAACTTTAGGTGTAAGTGTTCTAAGAGAAGGTGTTTTTATCCATGTTTGATTGAGGATCACGGCTTGTGTTTGTTCGTTACAAGTAGAGTAGTCAACTATGAATTCTAGTTTTCTGGTGATTAGCAAAGTTAGATTGATACTAATCAGCAGATATGACATAATTGTCGAACCCAGTGTTCATGTCATCAACTGAAAAACTATCTATCAACTGAACCTTGAAGACTAACTTCGACAAGCAATAAGAATATATTTTATCCGTATCAGTTTGACTACATCCTTCTTCAAATGGCAAAAAGAATTTAAGTTTATCTCCCAAAAGCACTCTGTACAGCAGCAAGGTAAATGCTGATATAGGCCAAATATATTCAGTATGTTATGCAAATTTTATTTCAGGTTAATTACTCTTGTTATTATATCCCTGACTGTGCCTGGGGACAACATGAAGGGAATCCTGCACTCTGATTGGCTACTGAAGTGGGCTTAAGATGGACCTCTTGTTCTTTTTTTCCATTTTTAAAGACCCCAACTTCATCCTGGGCCAAAAAATGCAAAAACAAATAAAATCAGTATCCAGCCATCATGAGCTCATGCTTGATCAGTGACATATATTTACTGAAGGAAAGAAAGCCTGACATTGTTTATATTTACTAATAATTGTTTCACTAGAGGTGTAACATATGTCAATGTCACCATAGAAAAATTATCTTTTTACAACAGGCAAAATGTGTTTATTATAGCTCTGGTGACTTTTTTTTTGGTCTAGTTTGTATTTATTGGGTTTCAATTTTCAGCTGCCATATAGGAGGAAGGTCTATTTTACTATAGTAAGTCACTAGATATCAATACAATGGCTGTATTATTATAAGAGGTACCTTCTATCTCCTGAAATGAATGGATACTGACAGCTATGACATCCCAGAATTTCCAGTTTCAAAAACAATATAACATTTGTGTACAGAGTGAATTTACCACTACTGTGACAATACATATGAAGGTAACAACTTAACCAAGATTGAATTTTTACCTTTTTGGATTGAAGAAAAGAAGTTGATGTGAGAACTAGTATAATTTCCTTGAGCTGAGTTGATGTGCATTCAATCCTTGCATTTAATTCTTTTTTTTGATGATTGTTACATTTTGATTTCTCATGTTAAAATATCTTCAGTAAATATTAAAGAAAATAGTACATGTTAACATTTGGATACAAGACTGTTTTCATGTGTTATATCTCACTAATATTTTCTTTAACTCAAAGAAAAAGTTTTCATTAACTTGATCAGGTTATTTTCTTTGTATCAGAGATTTTTAGACCTAAATTAATAGAAAGAATAAAGATACAAACAGTTAAAAAATAATTATTTTTAAGCTAGGTAGTGAAGTTTTTTCAAGGTCTGTATTTCTTTTTTCAGATAGTGATAAGACATGCCTTCACAGAAGGAAGACTTCCATTTAATGATAGACAGCAACTGGCATTCTCAGTTGTGAAATATTTTCAGGTGAGACTTGACTGAGTAAGAGTACTTATTGGGCTAAGGTTTAACCCTTTAACTCCCAGAAGTGATTAACATGAAACTTCTCCCAATAATATCCATACATTATGCAGCAAACAGGTAATAAGAATATTTGAACTTATCAGGTGGAAGCTGCCATCTTGATTAAGCACCAAGTCCTCATAACTAATTTTCAAGGAAATGTGTAGCAACTGGAGGGGAGGATTAACAATCAGATCTTGGGGTCTTATGGGTTAAAGTTGTGTGAAAAGAAAGGTTTTCTAACAATATCAGAGGTGAAACTATAGCGGTATGAACAACCATTTGTGCAGAAAATGTATGTTCATAAGGTGGCCTGAGATTATAAGTTGGTTAAAAAGGGCAGGCTAAGTTAGGTTATAAGTCAGAATGCTGAGGCTGCCTTAGCACTTTGACAGAGTTTTCCTTGACAATTTCCTGTACCAATTTCATTCATTCTGGAGGTACTGTGGGAGTAGAGTGGACCTTGAGTCCAGGGCGCCTGACCACCAGACCACTGTTTCCCCCACAAATGTTTTTTTAGTGCAAGTAAGCATCATGTTTTATTTTACAAATAAAGGAGCTGTTACAAGGATTCATTAGAGGCAATATAAGTGAAAGGGTTCTCTGGTAGAAAAGCTTTAGGAAATGTTAGGCTGTCTTGTGTTGGTGCATTGTTGTTAACAAATGAAAATGCTGTATTAATGCCCATCTATAGGCTGAGTTTGGCTTTAAGCATTATATGTTTTGCTATCACTTATCTGCTAGATAGCGATTTATCCGTTGGATAGCGTTATCTGCCTTTTATACAACTGCGCCCTGGAATATCAGTACAGTTAAACACAACATGAATTCCACAAATCAGAGTTAGTTATTGTTTGTGATCGCTACTGTTTAAATTTCTTAGATTGCAATTTACTTCTTACAATAATTATGGCATTTAAATTTAAATAATTAACACAGAGATTTCTCAAGAGTATGGGATAAGGGAGTCAATGTTTTGATCTATGATGAAGGTCAAACGTTCTGGAAAGTTTGTATGCTTTATCAGTAGTAGTCCTGTATTAGTGTAAGAGAAATTACAAACAAATATAACAAGTTGATCAGGTGGTCAAGTTTAATGCTTCACAAGAATTACAATCAGTAAAGAGCAACTTTCTAGTTTTTGCATATATTATTGCATGTCACTTTCATGCACTTAACCCTTTAACTCCCATGAGTGACCAAGAAAGAATTTCTCTTTACAATATCAATACAATATGAAGGAGACGAGTACTGAGAATATCAGCAAATATCAATTGGGGAATTATTGGTTGAACCATTACCAAATTCTCCAAACTAACTCTACAAGAACTGTATGGCACACAGTAAGGAGAATTGCTTATGATATCTTGGGAGTAAAAGAGTCAAGAGAACAGCAGAGCCTTCTATGGTGCAATCTTGACTTTTAATGAGTTCTAAGTTGATAATAGGCTGCTTTGGGTTGCAAGAAGAATTTAGCATGAGGCTCTCTACTCTGCTGTGTTGATTGAATTTTGGCAAATAGAATGGCACCATGTGATTTTTTACCATGTCACTCAGCACTGTTGATTGGGCATATCCCAATGTGAATATCCCCACAATCGAGGTCAATTATATCTGGGTGAACATCATGGAACATAATCTTCTTTATACCCAAAAACATAGTTTGAAGAGTGTGAATAAAAGTTTTTTTATTTTAATTTTATTTCTTATTACATTTGATTACTTTTTTACACATGTTTTGGACGATTTACAGGTAGACAGTACAACACCGATAAGACGCAAATGAACCTTTTGTAATAACCCTGAAATTTGCTATAGGTCAATTAATATCACAGTATTTATGACAAATGTGCTCCATATAGGTTATACATTACAAAGTTAAGAGTTTGATAGCAAACAAAATCGTTAAAAAAAATAATATCAAACAAATGTCATGCAATGTAAGGAAACTCTCTGATACATACAGTTATAATGTTGTGAAAGGAAAGGTCTAGAGAAATTTGAGTGGGCAGGGTGGCATACAAATCTTAGATAATTTTCCAAATGGTTATACTTGTATGGATGAGCAGAATGGTAAATAAGTAAAGAATGTTATATTGCCTTATGAGTGGGAATAGGTATATTTATTGTGTATATGACACCATCCAAATTTTTATTTGATTTTATCTGAGTTGTTAGGATCAGATAGCATTTTGGCCTAAATTTTATTGAAATTTGT